GTTGCCCCCCACACCAGTCACAACAGAAAAAAACGGCCCTTGTGATCAGCCTTGTGCATCCTCACGCACACAACCCTGCGGCTGCAGCAGCCAAAACCGTGCCCTGCCAGCCCACTGCGTTGCCACCTTCACCCAGTGCGGCATCTAGGATTGCAGTTTTCTGCCGGCCGCATTCGCTCGACTCCAATTTCCCTCGCACTAGGTTGCTTGCCTCAGACTCGCTATCTCACCATATTGCGCTGGCAACACCCCCTAGAAAATACCTAATTAGGGACCCAGTTTATTGATGCTTAGCTGTTGTTTGTCTGTCACTGATTGACGTGAAGCCTTCTTGTAGCGGGTGCACAACCTAGATCATCCGTGGTTTGCGTTCTGGGTGGAAATGGAAATTGTCCGAACCGTTGATCGCGCGGGAACGAACGAGCTCAAGAACCGCGTGGCGGAATCGCTTAAGATTATCACGAAGGCGCTCGCCGTATATGGGTACGAAGCGGAGCGAGCTAAGCCAAAGCCTCAAGCCGCTGACATGCCAATGAGCCATCTCCGCTTCTTTGTCTCATCTGCGCACCGTACATGCCGTTTGGCCCTTGTGCTACATCTATTTCGCTGTTATTTCCGTTCTCGATTTTATTTCAATGTGTCCTGGTAACGCCATGCATCGGACTGTGATTGTGCTCCACAGGCTGAGCGAGAAGTCGCTTTCAGCTTCAATGGCGGAAAGGATTCCACGGTGAGTTTTCTAACGCCATCGAAGCTTTGCGTCAGGCAAGATGCACGGAAGTGGATGTGATTTGATGAGGAGGGGAGGATCATACAGGGTTACTTTGTGATGGGAGGAAGATGAACCGATGCTGATTCTATCCGATTGTGCCCCACTCTCCAATCACCTAGCTTCCTCGACACAAACCTTAGGCTTCTTCCTCGCATCTCAACACCATTCAACCCCTCATCTCACCCCTCCCTTTCCCCCCTCCTCCCCCCTCCCTTCCCCCCTCCTCCCCCCTCCCCCCAAATCCATTCCCCCCTTCCCCTCCCCCCTTCCCCCGCTCCTCTCCCCCAATCCCTTCTTGTGAACCAGGTAATCCTGCACCTGCTGCGCGCGGCGCTGGTGGCGGCGCGCGCCAAAGGCGTGGACCTGCGGGACTCGACGTGCGCGGACGAGGCGGGCGAGGGGGACTGTGACGACGGCGCGGACCTTCCGGGTGGCTCGTGGAGGGGTTGGCGGGAAGCATGGACCACCGCGGATGCCCCTCCGAAGGGTGCGAGCACGGCTGCCGCGGGGGAGGCGGAGGCGGAGAAGGGGGAACCGGCGGAGAAGGCGAAGGAGGCGGAGGGGAATGGGCGGCGGAGAAGAAGAGCGAGGCGGAGAATGGCGAAGGCGATAAGGCGAGCTCGGACGAGATGGCGGGGCTGTGCGCGATTTATTTCAGGGATAAGGACGCGTTTCCGTCCATGGACGCGTTTACCATTGAGATGTCGCAACGGTGAGACGACTCTCGGAACGGACTGTTGGAGTGCCGTGAGTTGTTTACACTCTTCTTCTTTTCCTTCGCCTTTCCCGGGAGAGATGGGGGAGGGGGGGGAGGGGATGGGGAAAAGGGGGACAGGGGGGAAGGAGGGGGATGGTATGATGTTGGACGGTGTGATGGTGTGGTGATGATGTGATGTGGGATAAAGTTGCGTTTATGTGCTTAGAGCTGGAGCTGTGCGTCTGTATGTAGGTTCTTGATGATGGTGAGAGGATGGCGGTGGTTAGAGGATGCAATTTTCCACCTCCTGATTCTATCTCCCAAGCGTCCTCGTTCTTCCTATCCGTCCTTATCCCTCCTTTTCCGCTGCTCTCTTGTTAAAATACTAATAATAAAACTATCTGCCCCTGCAGTATTGTGCTGTACTACCCCTTTCCCCCTTTCCCCTCCCCCCCCCTCTTCCACCCCTTCCCTCTCTATGCTTTGCATGCTTTACAACACCAATCACCACCCATGCGTTCATACTCCATCCCCATGGCACGTCACACCCCCACAATTTCGCAAATCTTCCCACCATGCACCATCGCTTCTGCAACTTGCCTTGCCATCCCGATGTGCTACCTCCCCCCTTTCCCCCCTCTCCTCCCCACACTCCAACATCCCACCCCCCCTTCCCCCCTCCCCCCCCCCCCACACACACACATACACACACACATACACATACATGTACCATGGTGGTGTGCAAGGCAGGTACGGGTTGGACCTGATAGTGACGGACGATGACTTCAAGGCGGGCCTCACAGCGCTCAAGAAGCAGCGCCCTGTGCAAGCCATCTTCCTTGGCATCCGCTCCATCGACCCCAATGGGGTCAGTCAGTCTTTCTCTCGCCCTCTACCTCCCACACTCTCTCCCTCTCCCTCCCTCGCCCTTTATCTCCTTCACCCACCTTCTCCTCCCGCTTAATTCCTCTCGTTCTCCCGTTTCTCTCTCCCCCCTGGCCCCACCTCCTCTATCGCCTACGTCGCGCCTTTCCCAAAGCACACCCATTGCAAGCAATGTCCACACCTGCATTTCTTCGAACATTCTGTGTTGTCTCTAAGCTTTCTCTTCATGAAACCCCTTCTCCTCCTTGCCCTCCTTGCATACCCTGTATTTCCTCCCCTCCCCCTCCCCCCCCCCTCCCTCTTTCCCCCCTCACCCCTCTCCTCCCTTTCCCATCTTTCCCTTCTCTTCACCGGGAGCAGAAGAACCAAGCAGTCTTCTCTCACAGCTCGCCTGGCTGGCCTGATTTCGTGCGAGTCAATGTCATTCTGCATTGGTCCTACAGGTGCCACACACAACTCCCTGCCTTCTCTCTCTTTCCGTACCTCCCTCCATTTCCTCCCTGCCTATCCCCCCTGCCCATGCTGCCCCTTTCTCTCGTATTCTGTAATCGCATCTCTTGCGTTGTTTATGCTATTCCCTTTTCTCTCCTATTCTATCCTTGTATGCACGGCATGGCAGGGATGTGTGGGAGTTCCTCCTTGTCACCAAGGTGCCGTACTGTCATCTGTATGACGAAGGGTCAGTACATCTTTCCCATCTCGCCCTGCTCGTCCTCCCACCCTTCCCTGCTTCCTCTCCTTCTCTCCCCTCTCCCTGACCCTCTCTTAACAGTCGCACAGTCTCTCCTCCCTGCCATTCCTGTCCGCCCTGCCCTCATCTGCCCCTCGCCTCCAGCTCCAACGTTCTCATGCCCTTCCGTCAGATAATCTCTTCTTTCCTCCCCACCTCAACTTGCATCCCATCCCAACAAGTAATTCTTTCGGCTCCTTACCATTCCACTCGCGCATCCGCCCACCCGCCCACCCACCCACCCATTCCCCCAGCTTCACATCTCTTGGCAGTGTCCACGACACCGAGCCCAACCGCGCTCTACTCCTCCCCAACCTCCGCCACTGCCTCAAGACCGGCCGCACCTGTGTGTCCGTCCCTCCAGTGGACCCCTCCTGGCCGCCCCCTCTCCCTCAGCCCTCTGGTCCTTCTCCACGCCCTACTTCCGCAGCTCTAGTTGCCGCATGACTCCCGACCCGCACGCCTCTCTCTGTGTAGCTCAAATGCTGCTTCCCACTCGCACCGCCCCCTTTGGCCGCGGCCCTCCGCCTTGCCCTGTGCACCCGATTTGCCATCTCGCGCGAGTGGCATCGGATAATGGTATCGATGTGCATGCCCTGTTGGAAGGAGGAGCAGAGGAAGGGTCGGTTTTGGAGGATGCAGGTGCAGGGGTTGCTGCCGCTGCAGCGGCTGCGGCCGTGGCGGCGGGAGGGAGGAGGGAGGGGGTGAAGCCTGCAGGGGACAGGTTCCTGCCGGCTTATTTTCTTCTGGATGAGAGGTTGGAACGGGCAGGTAGGAAGAAAAAGAAGAAGGAAGCGCCTGTGGCTGAAGAGGGGAAGGCAGGAGCAGAGGGGGGAGCAGCGATGGAGGAGGAGGAGCAGGAGGAAGAGGAACCAGCGCAGTATGAGCCTGTGGATGGGGATGTGGTGGAGGATGGATTAGGGGTGATTCATGAAGACGTGGGGAGAGAGGGGTGGGGCGATGGGCAGGATGGGGAGGATTCGTTAAGACAAGGTGATGTGAATGGTGTGGCAGTGAATGGGAGTGAAGGGGAGGGCAGAGGAGGGCAAAGGCTGGTGCAAGAGGGAGTGGTGAGTTCGCCAGGTGGAGTTGGTGGTGGTGGTGGGACCGCTGGGGCTACTGCAGTGGGTTCGCCCAGGCCTGGCAAGCTGAGTCTTAATGTGCAGATTACGGACAGTGCTTTGGCTTCTGCGCTGCAGTAGTGCAAGGGGAATCGTTATTGTGTATGGGCCAGAAGCCAGCAGCAGCAGCAGGTTGCTGTGCTAGCTGATCAGCCAGCCATCCAACCTGCCTGCCGTCCTGCCGTCCATCCTGCCGTCCATCCTGCCGTCCATCCTGCCGTCCATCCTGCCGTCCATCCAGTGCCAGCCAAATTACCTGGCAGCCAGCCAGCAAGCAGAGCAGAGAAGAGGGCACTTGTGGATGTGGATGGGATGGGATCACTTCTCCAGGAGTGTTGTTGGTGTTGAAGGTGCACTGGGAGCGGCTGATTGCTGTAGTAGAATGAAGTGCCTCTGAGGTGGTATAGTGGTGTTTGGAGATTCGGCCATGTTTAGATAAGAGTGCTGCTTGGTTTGCAATATGATCAGTTAATGTTTTTTCCGCCTCTTTTGGTATATAGATTGGAGTAGATTTTCGCCCTCTCTAATTTGCACGAATTGCCTGCCACCGTATAAGCGTCACCTCTAACGCATCCACTTGAACCAGCGGTGTAAGCTCGACGGAAACCCTTCGCGGGCTGTTCTAGTCGCATCTTCCCGTGGCCTTCGGTCTGCTCTGTGCTGTCGCGCTCTCTCCATTCTTCCCCCTCAAATGCGTCTCATCAGCTGAACGAATTCTTGCAAGATACAGGTATCACCGAACAGCTCACACACACAGCTCTCGAAGGTCTAGAACATCGGGTTCTGCTCTGCTTGTGGTGTCTCGACTTCTTACCCTAACTAGTACTCCGCCATCTCAAGTTATCTAGTATCTTTTTCTTCCACGCTACATGGGGGTCTACACAGCCACCGAGGAAGACGCGTCGTTGCTCGCGAACGCAGCGGCCGGTTATCCAGCCGCTGTCGCCGCCGCTGCGGGAGTCGCGGGAGGAGCTACTTACGTTCCGCTACCGGACGGAAAGCAGCAGCAGCAGAAGCAGCAGGCAGAAGTATCTATCGTGCCAGTATACCGCGTCTCCGCGGTAACGGCCGCACAGGCGCAGGCGTCCGGGTTACCACCTGCAGGATTCACGTCGCGCGGGTCGCTGTGCTTCGTGAGCGGCACGCCGTACGAGGACGGCGTTATTCCCCCTAACGCCATCTTCTCGCACCCCAACGGCCGGCAGCTTCAAGGGACGTTTTTCGGGGATACGCCAGCGCCGTTCACGTGCCCGTGCTGCGGGTTCTCGGGGCTCACTGATGTTCGGTACGTGGTGGCGGCGGCCGTGGTCGTGGTGGTGTTGCTGGTGGTAGTGGTGATGGCAGTGGTGGTGGTGATGGTGGCGGTGGCGGGTGGTTATGATGTCGTGTGTGCCATTAGTGCTGTACAAGGGGTTGTTTCGTTTCGAGGCCATTTGCAGTGCTTTCTACTCCATTATGCTGTCATACGCTTTCATTCTTCCGCCACGAAACGTCATCACGTTTGGGTAAACTCAAAGCCAGACGTACGAGATTCTCTTTACCCTTATGTTCTCCACCTGTGCGTGTCGTGTTTTGTGCTGTCCCGTCCCTGCCTGTACAATCCCACTGTTCCCACAGCTCGTCACTGAGTGCGGCTGCCGTGGTGGCAGCAGCGGTGACGATTGTTGGAGTGTGTTTCCTGACTCCTGGTAGCTGCATGTGGCATAAGAAACACTTCTGCCCTTGCTGCCAGAACAAGGTAGGCTGTCCCTTGCCTTATATTTGCTGTCGCCACCCAAGAAAGATGTATGTGGCATGTGGCACAAATGCATAAGAATGTTCATTGCCTCTCCTCTGTGCTTCTTTTGCTTCATCTTGGATAGCACCTTCTGCATCCCCCATGTCGCATGTTCCACATTCCCTACATTATCATCTTTGGCGCCTGCCTAATCCTGAATTCCACCTGGTTCTTCGTACCTCATTGCGACAAACATCATGATCATGTTGCTGCATGTGCATGCTGCCAGGTGGGCGAGCATCAGAAGGACGACATCTTTCTTCTCGCTGACCCAGTCAACTGGCACCGCGTATCCTTTGCCCTCCCACTCTAGGCGCCTCCACTCGTTTCTTTCCACTCTAGCCCCCCCAACTCCACTTTTGCCCTGGGACCCTGCCGCCCCTTCCCTGAGACCACTCTGTCCTGCACCTGCTGTTCCACCACACGGCTAGAGACCATTCTACCCGATTTTTTTTTCTATGACATGCCACAATCAGCTACACTTTAGGAAGGCAGAAGCTATGTACCGTGTTTGGCATAATTCTATTACTGACCTTTTCTACACAGGCCTTTCGCATAAAAAGACATCAGATGAATTGTGAAACAGTAATCAATTGTCTCAATATTTCCACACTCTTCAAATGGCATGCCCGCGTGGCCTAATGGATAAGGCATCTGACTTCTAATCAGGTGATTGTGGGTTCGAGTCCCACCGTGGGTGCCTCGAAATAGTAGGCAAAGAAAAGTTTTGGGTGGTTTGAGAAATATCTGGTCGCAAAGAAGTGGTTTGCTTGTGGAATATGTACCTGTTTGAGAACTTTACAAGGCCTTGTTTGTGGAATACATACATGTTCCAGAGTTTGGCAAGTCCCAACAAATGCTTGTAGGGAATGCAAAGTGGGTTAAACATACGATAAAAAATTTTTTATTTTTACGACGTGCCCGCGTGGCCTAATGGATAAGGCATCTGACTTCTAATCAGGTGATTGTGGGTTCGAGTCCCACCGTGGGTGTCCTACCCATTTTTGCATCTTCCCTATCTGACTTGCGACATCGTTCCCTTCATTTTCCTGTCCGCCGTGCATGTCCCAATCCCTCTAGTCGCGAGGATCTTTCAGTGAACCTCACGTTTCGTCTCAAATCCAGCTTCCTTCCTTCTCGTTCCTCCTCCTTTCTCCCTAATTTCCAAGTTTCCTTGCACTCGCTCCCCCGCTTGTCGCGATGGCGCCAACAGCGGGAGCCGGGACTGCTAAGGTATGCTCGTATCCTTGCTTATTGTACTAATCGCCCTCGCGCCGTTCGTCTCAACTCCCAATCTTCATTTCGCCCCTCGCGCCACTGTTCTCCGCCTCTACTCGCCGTGTCCCTCACCCTCCTTCATCGAATTTAATTTCCCGCCATCTGTCGGCGTGCCGCTGCTTGTCTTGTCTTGTCTCTCATTTCTCCCCAATCGCCAACCACTTTGATGCGCGTCAAGCATTGCCGCTGCTTGTTTCGACCCGCTACCTATCCCCGTCTGCTCTTTCCTCATTCCCCACCAACCCTACATGGCTTCGCTGGTTCCGCCTTTTGGCATGGCATGGCGTGGCATGGCATGGCGTGGCTTGGAACGTCATCACGGCATGACACGGCATGGCGTGGCATGGCATTTCATATGGGGGTGACATGTGGGGGTGGCATGTGGGGGTGGCATGTGGTGAGCGAGCGCAGATGCTAAGCAAGCTAGAGGCGAGTGTGAAGGCAGGCAACTTCTACGAAGCACAGCAGCTCTACAAGAGCGTCAGCGCCAGGTGAGGTCAAACCAAACCTCTCAAGCACCTTGTCCTGGCGCCAGGTTAGGTCAAACCCACAGTCATTCTTCATTCCGCTCCGTCATTGCCTGCTGCTAGCTGCCCCAGCAGCAGCATCACCATAACACCTACCAACCACACCCTCACCTCCTCCTCCCCACCTCCTCCACCTTCCCATGGCCATTCTTCTCTACTCGACCAGGTATCCCCTAGGGATTCGCCTCCCCCAGGGATCCGCCTCCTCCAGGGATCCGCCTCCTCCAGAAATCCGCCTCCCCGAGGTATCTGAGCTGGGGGAGCATTACCATAACACCCCACTCCCCCCCGTCCCCCTCCAGGTATCTGAGCCGGGGGGATGCGCGGGCAGAGTATGTGGTTGAGCTGCAGAGTATGTGGTGCAGAGCGGTGATTGTGTTCATGCGTGCAGATGCAGCAGTGGCATCGCCGTAACTCCCCTCCGTCCCCTCCTCCCTCCGTCCCCCCTGCAGGTACCTGAGTAAAGGGGGCGCGCGGGCAGAGGATGCGATCGAGCTGCTGCAGAGCGGGGCGAGCGTGCAGCTGCAGCAGCGGCAGGTGACGTGTGGCACGGAGCTCGCCCTGCTCCTTGTGGACGCTCTGTCTGCCACGCACGCCCCGCACTCACAAGGCGCTGTGGGTGAGTGAGGGTGGGGTGGTAGGAAGATGGGGGTATGCGGATGGGGGGATGAGGTGTTCAGAGGATGAACTGTCTTGTCCTTCTCCCGCCACCACCCACCACCACTATGCCATTCTCTCTCTCTTTCTTCCCACATGCACACGCACACACATTCTTCTTTCCTCACTCCCTCCTTATCACCTTCTCCTCCTCTCGCCTGTCCCTCCTCTCCCTCCACACCAACAGAGCGTCTACTTGCCATTAACGACGCTTTTAAGCCGCTGCTCTCACACCAAACCAGCTCGCCCGCTGCTGCTGCTGCTGCTGCTGCTGCTGCTGCTGCTGCTGGTCCTGAGACTGCGAGTGAGAGCAGGGAGCAATCTGCAGCGCCGGAGGCATCTGCTTCTGCTTCTGCTGCTGCTGCTGAATCCGAATCACTGTCTGCGTTTGAAGGCTGCCTGTCCTTCCTCAAAGCCTCCATTCGGTCTGTAATACCGCCCCTCACATGCCAGCCCACTCAGTCACAATATAGTACCTCGTGCAGTCACCCACTCACTCTTTCTTCTAGCAGTCACACCAGCAGTCCCACCAGCACTCACACAGGTGGTCCTTTTCACAAGCACCCACGGCTCGCCCTTGATCTGCCCACCCACCTCTTCTCCCACCCCACCCACCCCCACTTGCTTTCCACAGGTGGTCCCTGAAGGCAGAGGGAGCGCCAAGGCACGGAGCACCAGAGCTGCATGATGCACTGGCCGTGCTGCTCTGGACGCATGGTGCCACCCAGGTGCGCTGCTGTGATGCTGTGCTGCGCTGCTGTGATGCTGTGCTGTGCTGCTGCCCCTGTTGCAGCGGGAGCAGTGCTGATGGCGGCTGTTGGCGCAGCACAAGGGTGACTGAGTGGTTCATGGGTCGTGTGGCTATTCCTTGCTCCACTTGGTCCACGGGCGCGCCTTGGTCCGGGGGCGCGCCTTGGTCCGGGGGCGCGCCTTGGTCCGGGGGCGCGCCTTGGTCCGGGGGCGCGCCTTGGTCCGGGGGCGCGCCTTGGTCCGGGGGCGCGCCTTGGTCCGGGGGCGCGCCTTGGTCCGGGGGCGCGCCTTGGTCCGGGGGCGCGCCTTGGTCCGGGGGCGCGCCTTGGTCCGGGGGCGCGCCTTGGTCCGGGGGCGCGCCTTGGTCCGGGGGCGCGCCTTGGTCCGGGGGCGCGCCTTGGTCCGGGGGCGCGCCTTGGTCCGGGGGCGCGCCTTGGTCCGGGGGCGCGCCTTGGTCCGGGGGCGCGCCTTGGTCCGGGGGCGCGCCTTGGTCCGGGGGCGCGCCTTGGTCCGGGGGCGCGCCTTGGTCCGGGGGCGCGCCTTGGTCCGGGGGCGCGCCTTGGTCCGGGGGCGCGCCTTGGTCCGGGGGCGCGCCTTGGTCCGGGGGCGCGCCTTGGTCCGGGGGCGCGCCTTGGTCCGGGGGCGCGCCTTGGTCCGGGGGCGCGCCTTGGTCCGGGGGCGCGCCTTGGTCCGGGGGCGCGCCTTGGTCCGGGGGCGCGCCTTGGTCCGGGGGCGCGCCTTGGTCCGGGGGCGCGCCTTGGTCCGGGGGCGCGCCTTGGTCCGGGGGCGCGCCTTGGTCCGGGGGCGCGCCTTGGTCCGGGGGCGCGCCTTGGTCCGAGGGCGCGCCTTGGTCCGGGGGCATGTACCAGGGATCCAGCTCGACAAAATGAACCTCCTACTCAAGGGGGCAAACACCCGCACACTGACTGCTCATGCATCCTGCCTCCACATCACACACCCTTACTTCTCCACCCCTTTCTTTCTCCCTATGACCCACTTCCTTCTCTCTCCACTTTGCACCCTCACCCTCCTTCTTCCACACATGTGTACGAGTGTCTACCAGGATCTAGAGGCAGCTAGCCGGCATTTTGTGCTGGGCCGTGACACGAAGGCGTTTAGCTCCGTTCTCTGCCAAGTCATGCAGGGGGTGAGTCACTTGCACTCGCACCCTTCCCTTCCCCGTCCCTCTGTCGCCCTCTTCTGCTCGCACGTAAAACGAAGCACGCACAGTCAACCGCCCCCGGTCTCCCAACACTCTACCTTTAGCCCTCTAGTCTAGTAACGCATGTGTTCACTTTCCTGTTCCCACCCCTTCTTAACAAACTCCCGCACTCTCTGTACTCGACGTCTCCCTCTCCCTCGCCTCGCCTCACCATCTCATCCTCCCCTCTCCTGTCTCCCGTTTTCGCTTTTCCTGTCCTCGTCCTTCCCTCGATTCGCCCTATTCCGTGCCTGTCCTCTCTCTTTGCCCATTGCCCGTGCCAGGGCTTTCCAGACGAGGTGGACCTTGTGCTCGCCAGAGCCGTGCTGCAGTACGTGCTCTTGCTTCCCTTCCTAACACATTCCACCACTGCCCACCGCTGTTCACCGCTGCTCACCGCATTCCACTCATGTTCACCACGCTTCAGTATTGTCGGTAATAATCGCCGCGTGATAAATTCTACGTCAAGCACCAAGTCACAGAGCAGCAAGCCTGTACCCCAGTGCATGAGTTTGTCGTGCATGCTGGCTTGTATGTATGTGACACGTGTCCATGGCACGGCATGGGCATGGCCTGGGGGCATTGCACGACATGGCATGGCATTCCATGACATGCATGGGTGGCAGGTACCTGGCAGTGGGCAACATAAGGGGTGCAAATGAGTTGCTGGACGACATAACAGCACGTGGAGCAGCAGGCACTGCACCTGCTCTGCCCGACTCTCCACTCATCCACTTCACACGTTTCCTGCTGCTCACGTGCGCCCCTTGCCTTCCTCACCACCCACCCCTCTCTCCTCCACTCGCCTCCACCTCCCCACTCTCCACTTCCGCTTGCGCATTACTGTCCCACCACCGTGCCCCCTCACTCCATCTCATTTGCCTCGTTGCCTCCTATCTTCGCTCCTCCCATTCCGCTCATTCCCCTTGCCACCTTCAACCTCCTTTCCTCCTACCCCCATGCCACTCCTCCCCACATCCCCCCCCATCACCCCCTTCCGCACCACAAGCTTTCCCCCCATTTTGCAGCGTGGAGCGGAAAGTGCTGCCTCTCTTCCTGCTGCTGTTTTTTTAGTCGACTCAAAACACTTCCCCCCCCCCCCAACCACGTGTGCAGTGTGGAGAGGGATGCGCTCCCTCTCTTTCTGCTGCTGCGCAAGGTGTATGCCCCCAGCATCCGCCGCGACCCCCAGTTTCATTCAGTATGCCCCTCGCAGCCTGTGCCCCCCTTCCCCATCACCCACACACTGCTAAGCCAATTCCTCTTCCTTCCTCCATGTAACCTTGCCTGAGATCCACTTCCCCTCCCGCCCCCTCACCCACACACCGTCCCACGTGCCCCCCATACGGAGCTCCCCAACCACACACTGTCTCTGACAGTCGCCTTCATTCAGAAGATTTCTCCAAAGACAACTGTCTCTCGCTTCTCCATTGCTCCTTGGTTTTGCCTTTACTTCTTTCCACCTCCCTTGCCTTTCTCCCCGATTCCATCCGACCCCATACCACCAATGCTCACCACCCCATCCGCAAACCCCCTATCCCCCCATTCCCCTTTAGTACCTGGACGAGATAGCCCACCGCTACTACAAAGTGACGCGGACCCTCAGGGGGGGGGTTCTTCATTCCTGCCACAAAGCTCCCCACCATATCCCCCAACCCTCCCATTTCCTCGTTTCCCCCCCCTCCCCATGCTCCCAGTACCTGGACGAGATAGCCCACCGCTACTACAAGGTGGCGCGGCCGTCAGGGGGAGGGGACTTCATGGGCGGACTGCTGCAGGTGAGGGGGTGGGTTGGATGGCAGGGGGAGGGGAGCACGGGGGACAGTACGGTACTGAAGACGGGAAAGGTGGGGGAGGGAGGGAAGAGGGGGAGGGGAAACAGGAGATGGGAGGAGAGGGAACTTAGGAGATTAGGAAGGGAGAGGGAGTGGTGTGGTGGTAGGTGGAGGAGGGAGAGGTGGGCCGTAGGACAGGAGAGCTATTCGCGCCTCCTTGATTCCAGGAGGATGCAATTTGGGACTCGCAACTCATTCGATCTGCTTTTTCTCTTGCTTTGATACCTAATTGCTGCAAATTCTCTCTTGGCTTGCGTGATGGGTAAGCACATAAGGACATATAGTTTATGAGGTCTTGGTGTACTTGTAACACACGCCTCTCAGCACTTGCCCTTCACCCTGCCAATCTCTCGCCCGCCGGGGCATGCTCTGTTTCTCCCTGCCAATCCCCCCATTCCCCTCATTCTCCTCTGTTGCCTGCCTCCCCTTGTCAGATGCTCATGGGCTGATTGCGCTACACACCGGGGAGCATAACTAGCTCCGCACAGCACAGCACAGCGCAGCACAACACAGCACAGCACAGCACAGCACAGCACAGCACAGCACAGCACAGCACAGCACAGCACAGCACAGCACAGTACAGCACAGCACAGCACAGCACAGCACAGCACAGCACAGCACAGCACAGCACAGCACAGCACAGCACAGCACAGCACAGCACAGCACAGCACAGCACAGCACAGCACAGCACAGCACAGCACAGCACAGCACAGCACAGCACAGCACAGCACAGCACAGCACAACACAGCACAGCACAGCACAGCACAGCACAGCACACGATGCAAGGTGAAGTGCATCCATTATGCATACACAGGAAGACCACTAGCGTCTTGTTTATAGAGATGCCGGCTTGAGTATTAGTATACCGTAGTAGGCCAAGTGTGGGCTAGGTAACACCGTAGGCCAAGTGTGGGCTAGGTAACACCGTAGGCCAGTGTTAGTGATGGTGTGTTTCTACGAGCAGCAGTGAACCAGAGTTGCCTTGCATTTCTTTGCTTTACATGCACAGCGCTTCCGTATTGCCTGCCTTGCAAGGTCCCGACTTGAATCTATCGCTGTTCAAGAAGAGAGACTTGATTCTTTAGGAACCCTGGGCAAAGAAATGAATATAATGAATATGACGGTTTCCCGTATTAATATTTGATAGTTACTTCTGTGATTGAGCCCATTGTAATGAGACCGAACCGCTCAAACACGCAGAGAATCGCATCCATCCGTTATAAAATTGATCCCACGCGAGAAATCACTCCTCTTACCGCGCTCTTCACCGCGTGCCGCCGCCTGGTCAGCTTGAAACTCGTGCTGCCCCTGTGCCTGCCCGAGCTGCCCGCGTCCGTGAGTCTCCTGCAGCGGCTGACGCGGCTGGACGTGTCGTGCGGCCGAGACGACAGCGATTCCAGGCCGCTTCCAGAGCTTTCAGAGCTTCCAGAGCCCAAGGCGGGGTTCCCCGAGAGCATAGGCTCGCTGTCCGCGTTCCAGTCGCTTCGCATCCGCGCTGCTTACGCGCGCGCCCTCCCGCACACCCTCTCCCGCCTCCGCTGCCTTACCTCGCTGAAAATCGACGGCTGCTTCAACCTCCGGGAGCTGCCCGACGGTCTCGGGCAGCTAAAAAAACTGCGGTATCTGGAGCTGGCGAAGTTAGATTCTTTGGAATCCTTACCAGACTCCATCGGCCTCTTATCATCCCTCGAAACCCTCCATCTGTGCAGACTCAGTGCCGCCACTCTCCCAGACTCCGCCCACCTCTCCTCCCTCAAACGCCTCCTGCTCTCCCACCTCTCACACCTGCAATCGCTGCCTGACTGCATCGGAGAGCTGCCCTCGCTGCAAGAACTGACCGTCAAGTTCTGCGCTCGCTTCAATGCTCTCCCGCCCTCGCTCTCCGCCCTCTCCTCCCTCACGGCTCTCACCGTTCAGCACTGCAAGTCTCTCGCCTCGTTACCGGAGGATATCGGCGACGCTCCCCGCCTTGCCTCTCTTGTTCTCGACCAGCTTCCCACCCTCGCAGCTATTCCAGACTCGCTCGCCCTCCTCTCTTCCCTCACGCACCTGCACGCGGCCAAGTGTGAGCGTCTAGCGTCGCTGCCAGCGTCTTTCGCAGGGCTACACTCCCTCTCTCGCCTGCAGCTTCTCGGGTGTTCCATGGACTCGCTGCCCGAAGATTTCGGGCAGGTTTCGGCGCTGACGGAGCTGCATCTAAGCGAAGTTGGTTGCGATCTGCCCGATTCGTTTGGGCAGCAGTTTCTGAAGCTGAAGCGGCTCACTATTGTTGCTTATACTGGTGTGATACCTCTACCAATCACTCTATCCCAGCTTGAGAATCTAACTATCCACAGCTGCGACTTTTTGGCAGCCCTGCCCGAAACTATCGGGCAGCTGACAGCGCTTCGCACAGTAGAAATAGCGGGATGCGAACCGCTGGAAACCCTTCCCGAGTCCTTCTCGCAGCTTCCCCACCTTGAAAGCCTCACTCTCGGATGGAAGGGATTGGTAACTAAAGAGGATGATGAGAACCTAGGCCATCAGACCTGCATGTTTGACAACAACGGGGATGATGAGGATGATGATTATGATGGGGCCGAGGATGCACCCGAGTCAGTGTTCACTCACCTGCCGAGCACGTTCGGGCAGCTCGCGAATTCCTTAACTGCCCTGGAGATCCACGGGTGCCACGCGCTTCTGCGGCTGCCCGCATCGTTCACCCAGCTGACTCGCCTGCAGCGGCTGTGCATCTCCAACTGTCACTCGCTGTGTGAATTTCCGCTCGGGTGGGGCAACCTTGTAGGCCTGCAGGAGTTAGAGCTCTCTCTCTGCAAGCGCCTTTCCGTGCTGCCTCCACTTACCCCCTCTCCTCCTGTTGCTGCTGCTGCTACTGCGGCGGCTGTTGCTGTTGCCGCCTCCGCTGTTTCTGCTGCTGCTGCTGCGTCTGCTACTGCTGCTGCTTCTGCTTCTGCAGCAGCTGCTGCTGCTGTTTCTGCTTCTGCGGCTGTATCTGCTGCTGCTTCTGCTTCTGGTGGTGCTAATGCTGCTGCTGCTGTGGCTGCTGCTGTTGCTGCCTCTTCTGCTGCTGCTGCTGCTGCTGCTGCTGCTGCCTCTGCTGCTGCTGCTGCTGCTGCTGCTGATGCCGCTGTTGCTGCTGCTTCTGCCGCTGCATCTGCCGCCGCCGCTGCTGCTGCTGCCGACGTTTCTGCCATAGGCCAGGGCCCTTATTTTGTAGACACTATCACCCCTCCTCAGCCCTCAACCCCGCCCTCCCTCCCCACCCCCTCCCATCTCTCCGCCGCCTTCTCATTCTCAAATGCCCCTCTCTTTCCTCCCTCGCTTCAGGTCTCTACCTCCTCCCCTCCCTCCTCCGCCTCGAAATCCGTGACTGTGTGAAATTCACCGCGCTCCCGCCCCCACCCTCGCCCTTGCCCTTCCCACCCACCCTGCAAACCCTAATTCTGTCCAACACGCTACAGAGCACCAGCGACATGCAGCAAGCCACCTGCCACTTCTCCTCTCTGCAACACCTGCGCATCGAACACATCCCATCTCTCAAAACCGTCCCCATTGCACCCTCTCTGGAAAGCCTTTCTCTCTACGACCTGTCCCTCGTCTCCCCTCTCTCAATATCCAACATCCACACTCTACAGAAACTGCGAATCCTGACCCTCCACACCCTCCCCCTGCTCTCCCCTCTCCCTCCTTCAATCACAGCCCTCGCTCACCTCCAGCGCCTTCATCTCAGCCACATGCAAATTTCCAACCTGCCCGAGGATCTCGGGCAGATGCAAGGGCTGCGCGTGCTAACCGTAGACTCCGCGCCGAAGCTCTCAACGCTCCTGGCCTCCCTCACCCTCCTCACCTCCCTCACCCTCCTCACCTCCCTCACCCTCCTCACCTCCCTCACCCTCCTCACCTCCCTCACCCTCCTCACCTCCCTCACCCTCCTCACCTCCCTCACCCTCCTCACCTCCCTGCAACACCTCATGGTCTCCAACTGTGAGACATTCTCCTCTCTACCAGAACAAGGAATCGGCAATCTCGCCTCTCTCCTCTCTCTCACGCTCACCGACCTGCCGCTGCTGCTCAAGCTGCCTGCGGCCGTCTCACACCTGCCTTCGCTGCATGTCTTGGATTTGCAGGGGTGCGAAAATTTCAGAGAGCTGCCCGAGGGGTTGGAGAGTGCGAGGAGTCTGCGGGAGGTTTACCTGGAGAGATGCAACCAATTGCAGGATTTGCCCGAGCTGTTGCTGGCGCAGGCAGGTAGGATTCAGGTGAATGCGAGAGATTCATGATTGACAGCTTAAAATGTGTATTTGTTTTGTGTATTTACTAAGGTGGTACACGGTACGACTTATCAACCAACTCTTGAACTGTTACTATGGCCAAACGTCTGGATTTATGGCAGGCAGTGGATTGTGGAATGAACCCCCTGGCCGAGCTATTGAGCACGTGGCTGGGTCATGAGCCTACCAGTACCAAGTGCGATCCTTGTGTCACCCAAATATTGCAAACCACTAGCCATTGCTATGGGGCTCCTTTGCATGATGCAGCCAAGGACTGCTTTATTTCCGATTATTTTACATACACAAGTGAGAAAGCAAAACACTCTCTCAAACCTAGCTAATTCCACCTACAGTAGAAGCATGGCGCCACAGCTAATCCCACTTCCCTGTGAAACAACCCCACTCCCCTTCCCAACCCATCTCCTCCTCCATTACCAACCAACCAACCGCCCTCTCTTTCTCCACCACAATCCCTTCAAAAACCTCATGCGAGAGATTCATCTGACACGGAGGCAAGCATAGCAGACGACCCCCATGGATTACCTAGCGGCGGCAACAATATCAGTGAATCAATCTGCCAACTAAGGCCCGATCCACGTGGTGAGCTCCTGGCGTAGGTTCTCCTTCTTGCGGGTGACCTGCGCCCACGTGGGGTAGATGGTGGTGCAGTGGCCAATGGTGCCCACCAGGAAGAACCCAAAGGTCGGCTTGGCGCGCAGCACAGCGCGGATGCGCATGATGGACCGACGGGAGTACGTCTGTATCGCTGCCATCTCCGCTGAAGAGCACCCGCTGCTGCTGCCACTGCTGCTGCTGCCGCTGCCGCTGCTGCTGCCGCTGCTGCTGCTGGTGCTCTTGCCGCTGCTGCTCTTGCTGCTGTCCCTGTCGCCTTCGCTGTTATGGTCTCTGTCCCTGTCATGGCCGAATCTTGCGATGGTAGCTGTGGCGCCGTGAAGGGAGGTGAAGCTACTGCTGCTGGTGCTGCTGGCGCCGGCGGTGGTAATGGTGGGGTTGAAGGGAACGAGTTGCACATGCGTGTCTCCTTCGATCGACCACCCTGCGTGAGACGATGACACACCTTGTGGCGCGTGGAAAACGGCAGAGAACTGATCAAACGTGTCTCCGTCTACTAGCCGTGAATGTGCGTCCGAAGCTGCAGGGAAAGCAGGGGAAGAGAAAGCACTCGACCGAGCAGTGCGGGTCTGCTCACTGAAACCCACAGCAGAAGCCACAGCATCTCCTCCCCATGCCTCCGCCTCCTCCTCATTCCCCACCGGACCAAACCCCACCACCTCCGCCCCCGCCGCCTCCGCCGCCACAGCATCAGCACCAGCAGGAGCGGAGTCAGAAACAGCAGCAGCAGCGGCAGTGGGAGGAGCGCCGGCCTTAAGAAAGAGCTTGTTCATGCAGTGCGTGATGCTGGAGGTAGAGGACTCGTTCTGGCCCTGGTTGGCGATGTCTATGGCTGCAAAGTCCGCCACCGAGTTGACTATGAAGACGGGCCGGCGCACAAAGTAGAGGTTGTTCTGCGGGAAAAAACACTTCCACACCTGCGTGCCGTACGCTGCAGGACGGGGAGCAGGGGGGTGGGGAAGGTGAAGGGAGGGGAAAGTGGGGGAGCGGTGTTTGGGAGGAGTGAGTTGACGGAAGAGTGAAGACGGGCCGGCTCACAAAGTAGAGGTTGTTCTGTGGGAAAGAACACTTCCACGCCTGCGTGCCGTACGCTGTGTGTGGAAAAGGGAGGGGGGAGAGTGGAGGAGAGGGAAGGGAGAGGTTTTGGAGTTATGGCTTGGGGCGTGTGGAGGGTATAGCTAGGATTTATGCAATTTCCGAGAGTGCTGTGCCGCGCAGCGATGTGATGTCATGTGATGTCCTGTGGCGACATGCGATGGCACCTGATGTCATATACTGTCATGAGATGTCATGTGATGCCATGTGATGTCATGTGATGCCATGTGATGTGATGCCATGTGATGTGATGCCATGTGATGTGATGCCATGTGATGTGCAGTGCTGCAATGCGCACTTACTCTGGCGGCAGGCGGGGTCGACGAAGGGGCGGTGCAGCGCGACTATGGACTTGGCGAGGCTGCGGAAGTACTTCTGCCCCGTCACGTCGTCCGCGTCTGATGCGCACCCGCCCGCCCGCACGCACGCGCGCGCGCGCGCAAAAGTCGCGGATCATCAACCAAGGCCGCGGAGAAGCGGGCGCAGTGGGATATGGGGGTGGACGGAGGAGAAGAGGAGAAGGGCAAGGGGGAAGAGAAGAATTGTGTATCGAGAGGATACAGGCGGTTGTATCCGGGGAAGACAGACGGTTATACCGGGGGCTGCGTCAGAAGATGTCAAAATGTGATCCGGGCGCTCAACGCGCATCGAAGCACAGCACGTACCGAGGAAGAACCCGCCGTCCATGATGCATCTCACGTCTGCTTTTCAACCCCGAGGACTGCAGACGTTTGTACCCTCGGGCTCAACTCTCAACGCGCGACGCGCGACGCGCATCGAAGCACAGCACGTACCGAGGAAGAATCCGCCGTCCATGATGCATTTCACGTTGGCGCGCGGCACGGCGGCGCCCACGCGGTTGCACACGGCGCTCACCGCCTGCCCGCCCGCGGAGCACCCGCTCAGCACCACCTTGGCGGCCGCCGCCATTCCGCGCCGCATGGTCAGCTCTGGGGTGGGGGGGGGGGGGGGGGGGGGGACGGCGGGGAGGGATGGGTGTGATAGCGAGAGAGCAGAGAATGTGCGGCTGCTTTGGGTGTGACCTTTTGAGACGTCTCAAAAGGAGCTGGGGCGCAACGAAGAGCAGCGCGGACACGCATCAGGAGCAGCACGGCGGGGGAGCACGAGACCACGCACCTTGCAGCACGGCGTTGATGATGCGCGAGCCGTGCGTTAGAATGCAGCTTTGGAGGTTGGAAGCTATGAGTGAGCAGTACGGAGAAAGCATCAACACGCACGCACCTTGCAGCACGGCGTTGATGATGCGCGAGCCGTGCGAGAAGAGCACCGTGGTGCCGTTGACGGCGATGCGCTGCCCGCTGCCCGCGAAGCCGCCGCCGTCGCAGTAGAGCACCATGACGGTGTTCCAGTTGTAGAACGCGGGGTTCTCCTGCGCGCTCGCGCTCAGCATCCCGCTGAACGTCGTGCCGTACTTGCGCAGCTGCGCGCGAGATACGGGAGGTGGGGGGAGGGGCGGGGAGGAGGGAAAGAGGGGGAAAAATAGGGGAAGGGGAAAGGGGGAGCGATGGGGAGGGGGAGTGAAGGTTAAGCAGGGGGGATGGGGAGCGGAGGTTTGAGAGGGGGAGGAATTTTTCCCCATTTTGCCCCAATCGTGATGCACACCGTGACACGCACTCGTCAGACTGCATACGAGATGCGAGCTGACCACTCGCCTATGCTCCACCCCACGCACCCCGTTGTGACTTATTCAGTTCACTTATGCTAGCGATTCTTGTTCGCTTGAAAGCGATTCCGCGAGAGCCCACCACAGCAGCCGAGGTAGTATCAGAGCCGACTCGCAGGTCACACGTACCGTGGACTCGAACGCGGGGTTAGAGGGCGGCACGTAGAAGCGGGTGCTCCCGAGCACGGTGGTTGCGCGGAAGCTGCACCCCGTGACGCTGTAGCACCACCCGCCGCCCTGCAGGTAGATCAGCCACTTGTTGCTCCCCGCGCCGTAGCCCTGCCGGTGGTAGAACCCGGGCGGACTGCGCGGGGTTAGAGGAAGGATGGACGGGAGGGAACGGACGGGGCAAAGAAATTGAAGCGCTAACGAAAGAAGCCTGTTCTTCCCCGTGCCGTAGCCCTGCCGGTGGTAGAACCCGGGCGGACTGCGCGGGGTTAGAGGAAGGATGGACGGGAGGGAACGGACGGGGCAAAGAAATTGAAGCGCTAACGAAAGAAGCCTGTTCTTCCCCGTGCCGTAGCCCTGCCGGTGGTAGAACCTGGGCGGACTGCGCGGGGACGAGTTGGTCGGAGGGACGGTGGGGGCGGGAATGGATGGGGAAAGGAGGAGACGCAGGGAAGGACGGACGAGGAGAGCAGGATTGTCAGGAAGGAGAGCTGGCGGTGGATAGCAAATTAGCAAAGGATCAAGGTTGGTGATTCGATGGGGAGTGGCATCGACATGTGGCGTACGGTGGTTTGACGTGACATGGCATGGCATGGTATCGTGTCTGGGATCGCATGGTGGGAATCTCGAAAGCACCGACCTGCCGTCCAAGCATCGAGCGCCGTATTTACTCGGCGGAAGCAGGACCAGACTCGTGGTCCCCGCTCCGCCCGCGGCGCCAGCCGCTCCGCCCCCGGCGCCAGCAGCGCCGGGGAGGACCGCGACGGAGAAGAGCGGAAGGGATGCGACAAATACGAGGACGAGAAGAGGAAGGATGGGGTTGATAAGGGGTCTTGTGTAGACGTGAAGGTTGCTGCGCAGCGGCATGTGGGGCCAATACGTCTTGGTGAAAGGTGGCTGGGGGAGTCCGGCGGGGACTAGGAAGACGGGAGGAGTAAACGAGCAGACGAGGCAAGGCAAGGAGGGAGAACGTATGCAATCAACCGCGAAGAGGTTTCGCGCGTGGTGTGGCTGGCGTTCCTTCGTCGCTCGTTGTAGCGTTCTTGTAGCGGCGAGGAGGGGATTATAAGGCTCAGGGGGAGCGCAGCAGACACGAATTTGCAAATTCGTGCAAAACACGCAGTAGCGGCGAGGAGGGGATTATAAGGCTCAGGGGGGAGCTCAACACGGACGCACTGGCGGCTGTAGCATTCTTGAAAAAGAAACCAAGAGAAATGGATTGAGAACGGAAGGAATCTTGAGAGGGGCAATAGAGTTGCCTCCACAAAGATTGCAATGAAGATAATTGAAAGAAGAGGGGCGAGGTGGGGCACAAGCGGTGCACCGAAATAGCAAACTGGTTTGGAAAAAATCTATGGCAGATTCGTGTCGGACGTTGAGAATACGGCGAACTTAGAGAGGAAGGTGAAATCTATATGTATAGGCGGCGGGAGCAAAGCTCTCTTGCGTTGCAAGACTCTGCTGTGTCGGGCCCACGAGACGATGAGCTTACGAAGCCTCGTCCAGAAGCACTGGTAGGTGAAGTTGGTAGTAGGAACGGCAGTTGCGACGCACGGTGAAGAGTCTCAACGCCGTGATTGGCGTTGGGAACCGCAGTTATTCTGCTGCAAGGTTTTGCACGTCGGGCGAAAATTGAGTGGTCAATCACAGGAACCGTGCGAGGAGGAGAGTGCAGATCAGTGAGATTCACCTAGCGAGCCGCGGATTGCGATGTGGACCGACCAGACCGAGAGGGTTCGTCCAAATGCCTGTGAAGTGAATAAAACTGGGGAAATGCATGCTGATTGGTACGGCTCATCAGGGCCTGGTAACCGTTCGATCAGGGGCAAAACGAACATCGGATGGTTGTCTCGAGATCACTTCGCTATTGTTGGGAAAGTTAAATTTGAACAGATGGACAGGAACGTGGGCACTTGTGTCGGTCCCATGTACAGCTGATGCTCACCCCATGCACGCGAATTTGCCTTGCGCCGGATGGATACGCTGCACCCGAGGTTGTTTCCCCAGCCTTATGCACCTACATTACAAGCGCGTCGCGTGGTTATCAACCAATAGTAACGAACAGACCGAAGTCAAACTAGGTACAGACCGAAGTCAAGCAGAAGAGACTGAAGTCAAACTAGGTTACAGATCTTGTTTATAAGCACATGCGAATCCTTTTTAGCTAGCTGCGAATTGACGAAACTTATGCGAAATGCTCGTGACAGCTTATACGCCCCCTTCATAAGGCAACCGGGAGGGGCTCAAACAGGCATCATGCATGTCGCGACTCGAATGCACAAATACGAGCCGCAAATGCCAGTTTATTCCACCCAATCGTAAATATTGTAGGTCCAGATGTAATACTGCAATACACTTTCCTAATTATTCTCTACATCCCTTGTACAGCTCGTGTGTCAAAATTAATAAGCTGTCCGTCACTATGCATCACCTCGCGTATGGAATTCTACACAGAATCTGGATGCACACACAGCTTGTAACTATGCATTATGTTAGCAATAGCGGTATCAACTATTTATTAGTAAGAGAGTGCCTGGCCGATCTTGCCAAGATAACCTAAGAGTAATACCAGTCCATGAAAGAGTTTTTCAGTGTGTTGGCGATGGCGCCCGTGACGCTCCCATACGTGGAAGTAAGTCGTTTGTTTCCAATAGTGGGCTGATCAGTAGACTTGAGCTGGCTCCAAAGAGCATCACCCATAACGCAGTGCGTTGACTGGGTGTACGTGAACGCTTTGAACTGCACGTTGGCCGATGCGCGGTTATGTGAAATCTCGTCCAGCGATGATTTGATACCTTGGGAATAGTTCTGGAGAAGAGCGAGCTGCTGCGGAGTGCACTTGGCCTTGTCGTAGTTGGAAGAGAGGCACTTGATGATCGGGTTGCTCTTCTTTTTCGAGTGTGGAGCCAAGGAGAGCGCCACGCCCTTGTAATCCGCGAGCGAGTTCACAAGGAAGGTCGGAGTCCTGATGTAATTCAGATTGTACTGCGGGAAGAAGCATTTCCAAGTCTGCCCAGGGTTCGCTGTTGGACACACGGGCAGAACGGGCAGAAAAGGAACGGGTGAATTCGCAGAACTCACGCCTTACGGGCATGGTGGACTGGATACAGCTCAATAATGGACAGGCAATCCCAATGCCAAGGCAAACCCAAGGCAATACGTCAATCCCAAGGCAATTAACTTGGCTGTCAGACCTTTCTGGCATTCGCCGTTGATCCCAATGCCGTTGAAGCTCTGCAGTTGAGCCATGTTCCCCACCTTCTGACGCAGGGAGAACTGACCCTTGTAGTCCTTCACATCTGCCCACGGATTTCAAATGCGATGAATCGAACAACAGCAGCAAAACAAAAAATTGCTGCACATAATAATCTCGAATGCACAAATTGAATACGGGAGCACACACATATCATGTGCGTGTGCCCATTCTTTTCGCAACGTACCTGGGATGAACCCAGCGTCCATGAGGCACTTGGTCTTGAGCCCGAAGGGCTTGAGCTGTCCCGCGATCTGATCGCACAGCATGGACACCGCCACTGCGCCCGCGCTGCATCCCGCCACCAGCACGTCCGTGCCCTTGCTCATGCCGCGCTGATTCAGAAGGTCTGCGCACAGGCAGGAAGAAATAAGTACATAACCACACGGCACAGGGGCATTGAACGACCGCGAGTGGCTGTACCCCGCATCTTCACGCAACCCCTGCCGTACCTTCACGAAAGCCCGCCCCGCCCCCTGCCCCCGCCACCTTCCCCGTGCCGTACCTTTGATCGAGTCTTTGAGGTTCCAGTTGCCGAGGAAATAGACCGTCTGGTTGGCGTGGGTGCGCGCCATGCCCGAGCCGCCCGCGAACGAGCCGCCGTCGCAGTACTTAATGGAAGCCACGTTCCAGTTGTAGAAGCCCGGGTTGTCGCGGCTGCTCGGACTCACCACGCCGTTAAACTCCACCTTCTGCCGCACCCCGTGCGGAAGCGCGCACCGGCGGAGGACGGAAGAAGGGGGGGAGGGAGGAGAGGAAGCGGCGCGCGTACGCAGGCAGAGGGGAAGAGACGTTGGAAGATAACCGGTGGAATGTGTCTTCACAAGTTGTAAAAGTTATAACTGGTCGGAAGGGTTCTAAAGCAAGGTTTCAAATGGTTGGAGGAGTCAAACCAAACGGAATGGACGGTTGGATAAGGTCCTCCTTCACGCGTTCTACAAAGGGGCACGGGACAAGGCTGTGAAGATGGGCGAGAAATGGCAAGGTCTGAGTGGCAGGACGGACAAGGCACAAAGATGGGATACGCAGAAAGAGAAGACGTTTAAGTGAATAGCGGACGGAGCGGTATACTCACGCGCTCCTTAGGCCACTGATTGGAGCTCCCGAGAAGGCCTTTGGAACGCACGGCGCACTGCTTGAGACTGAAGCACCACCCGCCGCCCTGTGGACGCAAATAATAGAAGAATGGCCATGAGACATGAGCACATCGCCAGGAGGAATGGGGGGGAAGGATTGGGGGTAGGAACCTCACGGTAGCTTACCGCAAATGAACTTGCTCGTTTGAAATGCCTATCTTAGATCGAGTTTAGGGCATCTGTCCAGCAATTTACTATCATAACACGAAGCATCAAGTTAAGCAGGAACTAGGAGATGGGTGGGAATTAAACCTCAAGGAAAATGATCCACTTGCGAGAGCCAGTGCCGAAGCCCTGACGATGGTAGTACCCCGGGGCACTGAGGGAGAGGGAGATCCAGCCCAAGGGAGGAGATGGGCAGGTCAACAGGAACAAAAAAATAACATTTGTGAAGAAACAAAATTTTCGTGAACCATGCACTGGTTACATGAGAGCAATCGGTATGCTTTTTTGGAACGGCAGCACGACAACGTAGTAGGAATCGAGTGATCCTTCTGCTTCAATCCGATGCCTAACTTCAACGTACCTGCCGTCCAGACACCGTCCCTTTGTAGAACCCGCCGACAGCAGATACAGCTTCGTGGTTGCCACCTTTGCACCACTATTACCGCCACCGCCGTTGCTGCCAGTGTCGCTGGGAGGGGCGCTGGGTTGCGGCTCCGGCTTTGGCGCCGGGATGGGCGGACGGGGCTTGGGCTTCGGTGGAGAAGTGGTCGGATTATGGCCTGTGAATGATCCTCCTCCTCCGCCGCCGCCGCCGCTGCCGCCGCCGCCGCTTCCGCTTCCATCGCCGTCGCTGCTGCCGCTTCCTCCGGGAAGATCATCCCTCTTTTTGAAGGTCGTCTCCGAGTCGCTCTTGCCGGCACCGCCGCTGCCGCTGGACGGAGCTGGGCGCCTGAAAGAAAAGCCCTTTTCACTGCCAGATGTAAGATCGTTGCTGTTATCGTTAGCTCCTCCTCCGCCGCTAGACGGGGCCGGACGCCTAGGAGCAAAGCTCACGCCACCGCCAGAGGTGAGCTCGTTTCCGTTACCGTCACCGTTACCGTCCCCGCCGCTGCCGGTGCGGGGAGTGATTGAGGTGCCAGAACCCTCACCACTGCCGGAACCTCCGCCACTACCGGGGTTGGTGCTGAAACCGCCGTCACCACGGTTCGTCATGCTGACGCCTGCAAGCGGGTCGTTTGGGTCTTGATCGGAAGATGTGGCGGGAAGGATTCCATGAGTGAGGACCAAGAGGAGAGAGAGGAGAGCCAGAGGTGCATGCGGGAAGATACGGCGTTCAGGGATTGAGGGAGTCATTGCTCGGTGTCTTCAAGAGCTGGTGTTGTGGTGGGAAATAGAGAATCGAAACTTCTAAAGGACGACGGGAGTCTTTTTGTGCTAGAAGGAGAAAGGAGAGACTTGGATGCTTCAGTTCAGAGCCGGATTTATCAACAGATACATTATTCACGTTGCCGATTCCAAGTGCTGCCCAGGGCTAGATGATGGGTGTGTTGAGGGAGCCGACATAGGCTGGGTAGTGGGCACGCTGTCTTTCACCGGTGACGGCGCCATCACGAAAATCGTGATTTGTGTTTGATGGGTGCTAGGACTACGTTTCTACGATGGTCGGAGTGGAGGGCAGGAGAACGAGTGGGCAAGTTTGTCTCAGCGAAATCCTCGGGGGGCTGATGAGCATGGCATATAACTCGAATGAAATTGACCCAGCTCCGAGCCGCACATTGACTGCGCGTCGCCTTCGCATTGGGGGCCTCCAGTCGTGTCGCGACTCGCTGGTTACCCACACGAGGGAAAATAGCTTCGGCGAGGGGGGAGAGTGGGGCTTGCAATGTGGTGCGGTGGGGCTCACGATTCACGAAAGGGGACAATTCCCAACATCTGATGTGGCTTGCAGAGCGTGAGATTGTCCTCCATATGCGCTCGAAAATTAGGTGAATACAGAATACATTTGATGGAATGTCTAAGCTAGGGCTTAACTAAATGGAAAATATACTACTCCATTTTTACAGTAAAGAATAAGTAGTAAGCACAAAATTTACTTATTTAAAACAATTTTTTGGTTAAATATCGTACTTAAATTTGTGTCTGGATAAATACAAACTGAATTATATGCTGACCAGTAATCTTCGCAAATGTCAAGAAAATTTCAGAAACTTGATCAATGAAGACATATACGTTAGAAGATTCTGTTAAATGATTTAATGTTTATAAAAATTACGGGGTTTTCCGTTTATTGATTAATACCAGTGTTAGATCTTAAGGGGTTTTAAGCCTGCTCGAATCATTCCATACTTGTTATAAGATGGTTTTCTCTGCGCCATAGCTGCTGATTCAGTGCTGAACCAAGAATTTGATCTGCAACCGTCACTGTCGTGTGCTGACGCGATCTGGGCGGCGACCGTGTGCATGCGTAACTGCCTGTATCCACCAATGTTTTGCTGCATCAACTGCCTGTGTCCACCAACGCAAAGCTTCGTTACGGAACTTTCGGCCTCATTTTGAACCAATCCCGGCTGGACCTATTCCGTCTTTTGCACAGCAGCCCCTCGGGGCCTTGTTTGTCTCTTCAGGAAGAGGAGAGTTAACCAGCAACACGCGTTCTCTTCTCGGGGGAATCCGTCAACTGCAGCATTACTGTACATAGTCGGATTTCACTTGCCTTTCCAGGCTCGGTGAGCCAGGCAGCATCAACGCAGCCTCCGTGATTGGTCACATGCATTTCGAAAGCCAAGAGTTCGGACGCAGCTTCCAATTGCAGCCCGAGAATAATCCACGGTGGCAGGTAGCTTCGGCCCGAACATGCGGCCTCCGTGAGCTCCCCACAGTTTGGAATTTGCTGCTGGCGAGGTGAGGGGAGTCCCTGGCAACGAACCACTTCCTCAACTTGAGGCAGCCTTGCCCAATGTAATGCTGCCCCAGCATTCCTGCGTTTTTTGCATGCACACCCGCGAGCAGCACATTCTATCCGGACCAGCGTTTCTGTGCGTTGCACGCAGGCAAGGTTTGGAAGCGGAGCCGCGACGTGTCCAGGTCTGGTGGCTGGCTTGAATGCGGTGGCTCGGACGGTTTGGTGGGGGGGCACAATTCAGCGCCCTTGGCCTTTTGGGTCTGTGTTGCATTGATGCACATTTGAAGAACCAACGAAGCATTTGGATGAGAAGCCATGCAGCAGCTATGCTAGCCTGTGTACAAAGTGCCCTAGCACTTTACCGCATCCGCCATGCAACTTGGTTCATCAATGCAGGGGGCGTTTCTTTCTTCGCTGGCTCGAGCCTCACTTTTCGTCCGCATGCCCCCCTGGCAGAGTTCATTTGTCCTTTATTTCACTCAATCAGCATCCGATCCGATCGGAGCGGTAAGGCAACCGCACGACAACAAACTCTCCCGCAACAATCCCCAAAAGGGGCAGCTTTTGCTGCCATGGCATGTGTGTACTAGAACTACTAGCGCCTTAGCGAATTACTAGCGTAAACATTCTCCAAACACCGCCAGCGCATTGCCTTGCTCCTGCCTCTTTGGCCCTCCTTTTCCACCTCATCTCATCCCATCTTTTCCGCGCTTCGACATTGTCTTTGCCCGCCCTGACTTTTATCTCTTGTCGCCCCATAGGCCAACAAACAATACGGGCACGGCAAGACTGTGTGATCGCCTTCCGTGTCTTACGCCGAACCTGATCGCAGCCCCGGCTTCAGGCCCATACGTGCCTTCTTACCAAACCAGCCCCCTCAGCGACTAGCACAAGGTAGGGAGCGGCGGCGGGAATCTGTTGAGGACTAGGCAGCCAAAAGCCGGTCCCACTGCTGTACTACTTGTGTCAATCCCATGGCTTACAAAGGTGATTTGAGTTGATGAGCGCTCCATTTTTGTGTTAGATTCATTCGACCTCCAGGTAGGAATGGGCCACAACTAGCACTCGAAATTAGCGAGGCTGATAAGCGAATTCGTAATCGAGGCCGTTCTTTTGCTGTTGAGGCCTCTGCTCCTCCTCGCCAGCTTCACCGCGCAAGCACCAGCTACGCGCTGCACTCTTCTTGAACTAGTTTCCCTTACACCCGCCATTCCCCTTCCTCATCCATCAGCGCGTCTTCGTGGGTGTTTCGTTTCTCTACAGCTCTCAGAAATCAGATTACATGGAGTGCCGCGGCTCGGAGCCCGTCCTTAGCATGCCCCCGCCCGTTTCCTGCGACCGACACATCTGCGATGCTGCTTCCGTCGCCGCCGCGGCCGCTGAAGGTCCCGACGGGCTGCTGGCGTCGCGGGCAATCCGCAAGAAGCTCGAAGACGTGGAGATTCGTGCGCTGGAGGGCAAACTGCAACTGCTAGAGACGCAGCGCCAGCTCAGCGCGGTGCGGTGCGAGCAGTTTATGCATATGCTCGAATCCTCCATGGACCAATCATTGAAGACGCCGCCTCCGTCACCGTCGCCGTCACCGTCACCGTCTTCGTCACCGTCATCGTCATCGTTGTCGCCTTCGTCGTCAAACTCTTCTTCGACACCCGCTTCCGAGCCGCAGTCTGCGGCGCCGCCTACTGTAGCGACGCCCCGCGGCGCGAGGCTCTCAATGGTGCCGCGGAGCGCGAGCCGCAGCGGAATGGACGCTTGGGATCATTACGTTGCTGATCGCTCGTCCGAGAAGGCCTCGACATCTCCTAAAGTATCAGCGGCGGCGGCTGTTGCGGCGGTCGCGGCAGCAGGGGCAGATAACGACTATCGTACTATCTCGTTCGGAACAAAGTCGTTCCCCAGGATCGTTACCGGTAAGACCCATACCACTATTAGTCGAAGCGCGAGCCATCACGCATTGGAGATTCCGCGCGGCGCGTGGGACGTTCCGCTCCTGTATCCTCCTCCGCTTCGTGCTCTAAAGAGCCCCTCCCAACGGCGCTGGTCGTTTGAGCTTTCCAAAAAGCCGCTTCCGCGAACGCCGAGGCGCCGCAGCGAAGATTGCGGCGGCGAGGGCGCGGCGGCGAGAAGCTACCGCGGCTGTGGCGAAACGGCGAGAGACGAGAGACACGACGATGGCGACGGTGACGACGAGGAGGAAGCGGAGGATGAGGAGGAGGAAGAAGAGGACGAGGAAGAGGAAGAGAGGGAAGAGAAGGAAGGGGAGAATGTGGTGTCTGGGGAAGAATCAGGGCCGTGGAGAATCGGCTCGAGCCGCAGGCGACCCATCGTTCTGCCTAGCACTAGCAGGAGCCTAGTGTCTCCGTCCTACTTGCTTCTCTCCCAGTCCTGCCCCACCTCCGCGTTTCATCCCCGGTCCGCGTTCAGCGGCAGCGGCCGTCGCGGCGGTGGGGGCGGCGGTGGGGTGAGCAGCAGCGGCATTCCCAACAGCACCAGCACGAGCAGCCTTATGTCGACTGTTTCGGCCACCACCAACAGCAGCAGCTTCGGCAGGAGCTTCAGCAGCATCAGCAGCTGCAGCAGCTACAGCAGTGCTACAAGCAGCACCAGGTACAACCTCGGCAGCAGCGGCAGCAGCAGCAGCAGCAGCAGCTGCAGTGCCAATAATCATTGCCACTGCCACTGCCATTGCCAGGGGCTTTCCTCGGGTAGCAGCTTCGCCTGCAGCATCAGCTGCGGCATCAGCACCTTCAGTTGCAGCAGTGGCGGCGGCGGCGGCAACAGTGGTAGCTGTCAGAGTAATGGATTGGTCAGGTGTAAGCCACCGAAAAGCAGCAGCAGCAGTTGGGCACGGATTGACAGCGTCACCAGCAACGACTCATTCTGCCCTGCTGCTGCTGCTGCTGCTGCCGCCGCTACCGAGCTTGCAGCCATCTCCCCTCGTGCTACCTTCCCATACTCACACCCCTCGCACTCCTCGCACTCCTCGCACTCCTCGCAGTTCTCGCATTCTTCGTATTACGCGCACTCCCCACGCGCCTCCGCCTCACCCCGCTGCTCCTCCTCCCCGCACACCGCCTCCTCCCCACGTCCAGCTTCCTTCTCTCCGCGCACGCCCCGCAGTCACCGCTCCTCGAGAACAGCGCGAGCGTGGCTGGTTCGCCATGCCAGCTTGACCTCCCTCGTCCAGCCCTCCTCGCCCTGACGCCCTTTGAGGCGCCTCTGAGGTTTGAGCCACCTCAAAAGTCTCCCCACAGTCACCGCTCCTCGAGAACAGCACGAGCGTGGCTCATTTGCCATGCCAGCTTGACCTCCCTCATCCAGCCCTCCTCGCCCTGACTGCTTTTGAGGCGCCTCAGAATGCCTGTCTCTGCCCCACACCAGTACGGAGTGATGTGCTGGTGTGGTAGCGCTTCTGCATTACGAGAGGCAGGAAAGCAGGGCTTTCGACTTGCCGTAACCCGCCAGCTCCTCACATTGACTCCTTACAGCGTACGGCTCACTCATTGCAGGGCTGTGGTTGTGGCTAGAAGGGCTTGAATAGTTAGAGAGGACTCAGGAGGACTCAGGAGTCAGGACTGGGTTGGGTTGGGAAATAAGCTGTGGATGGAGCCGTCTCAGCTGAAGTCCCTAGCTTCAATGTACTGTAGATGCTCCAACCAGAATTAGACTTGAGTTGGTGCCTTGCCTAATGCCTGTCGTAGCGATGTTAGGTTCACTCACATACCGGTAGGCTACAATTGTCATTGTGCACTGTTGTGTTGTGCAGCTACACCAATGTACCGGTATAAGGCATTAGTTATGGTTCCCAGGTGTACTACGGTATGTGCAGGAGGACCGGGTGTACTAGTAAATAACCAGTGCTTACTACTTGACAGGTAAATCAATCAACCACTCTAGCTGCTTTGGTCCTAATACCAGTAAGCTAGTGCATGATTATTGAACACCGGTAGTCAAAATCTGCATACAGCATACGACAAAACTACCATAACAAATTTACCATAATAATGAACTTCCACATATCCATAGAAGAGCGGTCCTTCAGCAACACGAGCCCAAGAACGCGAGTGAACAGTGTGACGTGACCCTTTCTCCTCTCCTCTGCGTTCCTCCTGGTGCCATGTACCGTAACAGGCGAGGAGAATGGTCCAGTTGTGGCTGTAGCGCAGTATGCGGTATTCTGCATACCAGTACCGTACTTTACCCAAGCAGCCAGGCGCTGCTTCTGAGACAGTCCCAGAATGCGTATCAGATGAACACAATGGTCTAGTTGTGGCTGTAGCCCAGTATGAGGTACTCTGCATACCAGTTGACCGCAGCAGCCAGGCTGAGACGTCTCAAAAGCAGCTTCCAAGTCAGTCCCAAAATGCGTTTCACTTCTGAGACAGTCTCAGAATGCGTATCAGACAAACACAATGGTCTTGTTGTGGCTGTAGCGCAGGATGCGGTACTCTGCATAGTACTTGACAGCAGCGGCGAGGCACTGCTTCTCCAGGATCTTGCTCTTGGCTGCAAAGGACGCCAGACCTTCCCTGTGTGACACCCGGTCCACCTGAGATGGCGGGAGGGAGGGAGGCAGGTAGGCAGGCATGCAGGCAGGCAGTCAGGCAGGAAGGCAGGCAAGGGAGAAAGATGCATTGCCATGCCACGTCATGCCACCGTGTGGTGTTGCGATGCATTTGGTGTTGAGGCATAGATAGTTCAATGGAGGGCCGAATGGGTATGGAGGAACAGAGGCGAACATGTGGGCGGGGGTAATAAGGAAGGGAGGAACGTGGAACGCAGGAGGGAGAAAGGGAGGGAGGGACCTGGAACATGTTCTCTCACTCCTCTCTCTCTCTAATGGCCCTTTCATTGATAATCGTGGAGTACACACATGCAAGGTATTGGTATGGCACGCAACAGTCGTCACAAATCTAAGCCTCCTACTCATCTTGCAACGCAGCCTCCCCCTCCCCCCCCCCCCGTGGCTCCCTCTAGGGGAGGTCCAGGGTGGGGTCCAAGACCATGAGGCAATCTCCAAGTGACGGGGCCTCTCCTACCGCCTCAAGCAGCGGGTTTTCTACCGCTGCTGCGATGTTGCATTTCTCTTGGTACCCGACTGACTGCCCCCTTTGAAGAGCCACCGACCACCGCTGCCGATATTGGTGTAAGAGCTTGGCAGCTTGGTAGGAGGTGGGCTCGGCGTTGAAGAACCGCCGTGCAGCCGATTCTGCAAGTAACTTCAGGAAGTCCACTGTCTCGGGGCAAGGGCACCCGTACGTATCGACCGCGAGGGGGAAGAACTTGACCCCTTCCAGGCGGTCCATGTAAAGGCCAATCTTTTTATCCGCGGCTTCCCGTGCTGCCCATCCCCGTCCCCTGGTTGCATTCTCGTCCCGGGTGCTAATCGGATCCGTTACAGTCACGTCGCAGATGTAGACCGCGCTGGTAGTGCGGTCGCGGAGGGCTAGGTCAGCCTTCTTCCCTTCCACAGGGCTGAATGCGGCCGACTCCATGTGCACCATGAAGCCGGCGTCCCTTGTTATTCGCGCGCACTCGTCTCTGAGCTCATTGTGCGTGTTGGTACGTCCCCCCCCTGTTCCGCACCGCAGCAGGTGATTGGGCAGCCGCTTATCCAAGATCTCGACCTTCTTCGTGCAGTTGCACACACCCGGGGCAGCAAAGGGGAGCCCTAGCCGGAATTGGAGGGCGTTGGCATAATGAGGGGCGTCTAGCCGAAGCGAATGGTGAATCGGCATGGCATTTAACCAATCACCCGCCCCATAACCTGACAGAGACAACATCCGTTGGGTGTGGCCGTTGTTGGGGTTCGGCCGCATCCTCCGCACCTCCTCCACCTGCACCGCATACCGCTGTCCTTGGATAGCGGTGGCCAATCCATGCTGCAGCTTCCCCGTTGTTGGGCCGCTCGTTCCGTCTGCAGGACCTCCATTGCCGGCAGAGGCAGCCCCTCCTCACATTCCGCCAGCCACTCGGTCAGGGGGGAGGCCTGGGTGTAGGGGCCCCGCATCAGCCCACGGGTGCCCTCCAATGGGCCGATGCATTCAGTGTCCAGGGAATCCAGCAGCTGCTGCGCCTGCGTGTAGCTGGCGAGGAAGCTGTAGCGCCCTTCCACCGAGGGGTCTGCTAGGCCAGCCCCCCCGAGCGACACGGGGAGAGACGCTTGCGCCCAGACGCGTGCCATCTCCTCGTCTCCCCGCGGATGGCTAATCCCGCACGCCATGAGAAGGGTTTCCAGCAGCCGCCTCCCCCAGCTTGACCACTTCTCCTTGGGCAGAAACGGCAGGGGTGTCGTGCGTGCGAGGTAAGAGACCCGGCGAGAGATACACCGGGACAGCAGCAGACCCGCCAGCTGCGGGTCCATCCGCTCGATCAGGTCCAGCGGCGCGCTCATCCCCGCAAGACTGGTACGTACGAAATCTGAAGTTGCTGGTGCCGTGCCGATGTGGCTGCCCAATACTTTCAGGCCGTCGCTGCTGGGAGGAACTCCTTCAGGCAAACGGCAGTCCGGGGACATCTTGCTGGACCAAGCCCCGCATTTGGCTGGGTTATGGCGGAGCCCAATTTCCGCCAGGTGGCCCGTGAAGTGTTCGAAGGCAGCCACGCACGCCGATGGCTCCCCGAGGAAGGTCACGTCGTCTGCGTAGGCTAGGCAGACGACGGATGGGTGGGCCTCCGCTACGGCTTTAAGAGCAGGGTGCATGGCAGCGGCGAAGAGAAGGGGACCGAGGGGATCCCCCTGGCGGATACCGGTTTCACTGTGCAGGGGCGGGTGAGCAAAGGCCGCGTCCAGGTGAAGGAGAGAGGGCTGGCCGTATGAGAAGCGAACCAGTGGCAGCAGCGGCTCTAATCGTGAGCCCTTCAGGGCTTTTGCTATTGCCAGGCGGTCGACGCTGTTGAAGGCATTAGCCAGGTCCGCCTGCAGGACTAGCGCATCCGGGTTAGCCGCCACATAGGTCCTAACGATATGGATGACCGCCTCAGCCCCGCCAGGCACGACCACACCAAACTGCAGAGGTAAGAAGAATTCCCTTGCTGCGTCTGCCAACTGCGTTAGTGCTGCCTTGGCTGCCAGGCGGAGGATGCATTCGCCTATAGCGATCGGCGTGGTCCCCCCGTCAGGTTTGTCTAATGCTATTAAACGTGATGCTGTAAGAAGCTTCCCCACCTCCTGGTGCAGTTTCCCGCTCAGGATTGTGTTAACTAATGCGTGCAGGTGAGAACCGACTGTGCTGTGCAGCAGGGCAGCTTCGCGGATGTGCTCGAAAGTTGTGCCTGAGGGCCCCGCGCCAACCCCGTTCTCACATCTTGAGAGAAGCTTCAGAAAAGCTTCTCGCGTTACTGACAGGTGAGAGTCTGGCTCGGGCTGGGGCCACGGTGAGACAGGGCGGGAAGCACTGGGATGCTTGGCGCGGAGGGCGTCCAGCACAGCAGGTGAGGGTGTGCTGACAGGGGTGGCTTTCAGCGCCATGACCGCCCTCCTCAAACTGCCACGTCGTGCCAGTCCCTCGGCTCTGGAGATGATGCCTAACTCATCTGGCACGTGGCGAGGAGGTGGTAGTTGTTCTAGTGAATCTATCGTTTCCAGGTACAGCGCCTCCCAATCCCCCCGCAGGAAACTCCGCAGGCGTTTTTTCGGTCGCCTTCCAATCCGGATGTCTTGGCGAATGCTGACGCAGAGTCAAACGGGCGGCAAACAATAAAACCGTCCAGGCAGAGAGGGAGTCAGGGTCGCGTGCGAGTCGTAGGAGTGGTGTCAGTAACACCATGGCGAAAAGCAGGCGCAATTTCTCCGGCAGGCGACGTGCCAGAGGTGAGTTGCGACTGTCGCGCAGCTTATCCACATCCCAGGTACTGACATTCGCGAAGAGAGCGTCGTCCCTGGCGAGGGCCTCGGGCGACTTTTGGGGAGGCGGCTGTGTCTGCTGCTGGTTACCCCTCGCTGTAGGTCGCGGTACGTTTGGAGGTGGTGATGTCAGATTCGGTTGGGCGGGGTGGTTGACAGTGGTGGCAGGGAGGCGGGAAGCGGTACGAGTCTGTGGTGAGAGTCGCGGTTGGGTGGGTGGGGTTCTGAAATTTGTTGACGCGCTTCGAGCTTGGGTTGAGCCGATTCTCCCCCGTGCTGGTGTTTGTGACTGGGCCTCCTCTGAGGCACTTGAACTTGACGGTGAGTTTGCGTCTACATCCTCCGCCTCATAAATGCTTCCCAATAGTTCGCCTTCTTCAGTAGTTCTAACTAAGTCCCTTAAAGCCCTTCTTGCCGCTGCCTGGAACGCATTCTCCGGGCCTCCTTCCTGAGTGCCTCTGCCACGTCCGCGACCTACGCCTCTACTCCCTCGACCCCGCGCGCTGGCCGCGGCCCGCTGCGGAAATCCGCTGCCACCTATTCCCCCATCTTGACGCGCCCGCGCGTCTACGATCGCCTGCTGACGGCGCGTTAGTCGTGATGGCGACTGAATTGGAGAAGTCAGCGGTGGATCAGGGTCACACCGCTGAGAGCGCGAATGCCCCATCTCCTGCTCCTGTTGCTGCTCCGGCTGCTGCTGCTGCTCCCTTAGCCCCTCCGGCTCCTCCTGATGCTGCTGCAACGTCCCCGGCTCTGATGCCACCGGTGCCGGCTCCCCCGCCAAACCTTCCGCACGTCGCTCCCGCGACCGGCGCGCCGGTTCCCGTTGCGCAGCCGTCGCTTGTGGCGCCGCCGACTGGCCAAGCTGGCGCCGGGGGCCCCGCGCTGGGGACAGCGGCGGGCGCCGGCCCCGACCCTGCCCTCCAGGTGGCCCCTGCAGCTGCGCCGGTACATCCCGTCGCGCAGCGTCTCGCTGAATCTCAGATACGCGGCGCCGCGGGGGGCAATGCGGCTGCGCATCGGGGGCGCGGTTCTCCTCGTCGCCACCCCTCGTCGTCGTATCGATCGGCGCACCGCGGGGGCCGCGGTGGCTGGTGGGGAGGTCACGGTCGCGGGAGCGGTGGGCCGAGCGAGATGCAGCAGTTTCGCGAGGATTTCCCGGGGATGCTAGCTGCGGCAATGCGCAATGCCCTGAATGGCGCACAGAATCTTGGAAGCTCCCAGGCTCCCGCCGCTCCAGCTCCCGCACCGGCGCAGGTGATTGCGCAGGCTCCGGCCGCGCCCCTTGCTGCTCCTGCTCCGCTCGGCTCGGCGCTACCGCAGGTTCAGACTCCTGGTGATCCCCGTGCCCCTCCTGTCCCCGTGCGTCCTGTGTCTGCTGCGCCATATCCCCCTCTCCCCTGGATTCCCCCACTCGCGGGCACGGGATTTGTGGGGGCGGGAGGTGGAGGGGCGAGAGGGGCGTTCATCCCACCGCGACGCGTTGCTGATGCTCCGTCCGTGCAGCCTCCGCCCACGCTTCCGGTTCCACCCGCAGCACTGGCGACCCGCATGGCTGAAGTTCCCACGGCGACCCTTGCTCAGCTGTGGCGCCTGACGGAGTGTCAGCGGGCCCTGTCACTGATTCTGGTGAATGCGCATTTCGCCATTCTCCAGAGCCCAGGGAGCACTCTCGGTCGTGGGGCGCGAGCTGATTGCCAGGCAGCAGCTGCGCAGCTGGCCTTCCTCCTCTTACCCGTGCTGGCAGCGCCCGCAATGGGAGGCGTTGCGGTTTCTGAACTGGACGTAACGGTCCAGGGTCTGACCGCACACCTCCAGGCTGGTGGCGGGATTGAAGCCTTAGGCGCGACCGCGTTAGTGGTCCAGCAACTGTGGAGGACCATGCGTGGTATCCTTGCGGCGCTGGATGCCCATCAGATGTAGTTTCTGGCACCCGCCGCGCGTAGACCCTTTGCATGTCTTGATCTAGTAGGGAGTGGCGCGGCCCATGGCTGTCTTGTGATGCATGCGTTATTGCTTGTGTTGCTGTTAATCCTTGCCACCCCTAGGCACGCGGCCGAAGGCCGCGGCGGCCGGCGCGAGCGCCCAAGAAAACTGGCACCAATCAAACTAATGACTGAGAAATGACCCCAAGGGCCCTATATATAGCTAGAGGGCAGAGGCAGAGGCTAGAGGCAGAGACTAAGTCCTCTCTCTCTCTCTCGCTCTCTCCGAGCGCCCAAGAAAACTGGCACCAACCGAACTAATGACTGAGAAATGACCCCAAGGGCCCTATATATAGCTAGAGGGCAGAGGCAGAGGCTAGAGGCAGAGGCTAAGTCCTCTCTCTCTCTCTCTCTCTCTCTCTCTCTCTCTCTCTCTCTCTCTCTCTCTCTCTCTCTCTCTCTCTCTCTCTCTCTCTCTCTCTCTCTCTCTCTCTCTCTCTCTCTCTCTCCCTCTGGCTCTTTGTTGCACTCTCACCAGCTGTTCAAACACAGGCCCGCAGTCAAGCTCGTCCGTGACAAAGTGGCTCACCTATTGCGGCGCCTCTGAAGGTTTTTTCCCTCTCTCTCTCCTCACTCACTCCCGCTCGCGCTCTCACCAGCTGTTCAATGATGGGCCCGCAGTCAAGCTCGTCCGTGACAAAGTGGCTTACCTATTGCGGCGCCTCTGAAGGTTTTTTCCCTCTCTCTCTCCTCACTCACTCCCGCTCGCACTCTCACCAGCTGTTCAATGATGGGCCCGCAGTCAAGCTCGTCCGTGACAAAGTGGCTCACCTATTGCGGCGCCTCTGAAGGTTTTTTCCCTCTCTCTCTCCTCACTCACTCCCGCTCGCGCTCTCACCAGCTGTTCAATGATGGGCCCGCAGTCAAGCTCGTCCGTGACAAAGTGGCTCACCTATTGCGGCACCTCTGAAGGTTTTTTCCCTCTCTCTCTCCTCACTCACTCCCGCTCGCGCTCTCACCAGCTGTTCAATGATGGGCCCGCAGTCAAGCTCGTCCGTGACAAAGTGGCTCACCTATTGCGGCGCCTCTGAAGGTTTTTTCCCTCTCTCTCTCCTCACTCACTCCCGCTCGCGCTCTCACCAGCTGTTCAATGATGGGCCCGCAGTCAAGCTCGTCCGTGACAAAGTGGCTCACCTATTGCGGCGTCTCTGAAGGTTTTTTCCCTCTCTCTCCTCACTCACTCCCGCTCGCACTCTCACCAGCTGTTCAATGATGGGCCCGCAGTCAAGCTCGTCCGTGACAAAGTGGCTCACCTATTGCGGCGCCTCTGAAGGTTTTTTCCCTCTCTCTCTCCTCACTCACTCCCGCTCGCACTCTCACCAGCTGTTCAATGATGGGCCCGCAGTCAAGCTCGTCCGTGACAAAGTGGCTCACCTATTGCGGCGCCTCTGAAGGTTTTTTCCCTCTCTCTCTCCTCACTCACTCCCGCTCGCATTCTCACCAGCTGTTCAATGATGGGCCCGCAGTCAAGCTCGTCCGTGACAAAGTGGCTCACCTATTGCGGCGCCTCTGAAGGTTTTTTCCCTCTCTCTCTCCTCACTCACTCCCGCTCGCGCTCTCACCAGCTGTTCAATGATGGGCCCGCAGTCAAGCTCGTCCGTGACAAAGTGGCTCACCTATTGCGGCGTCTCTGAAGTTTTTTTCCCTCTCTCTCTCCTCACTCACTCCCGCTCGCACTCTCACCAGCTGTTCAATGATGGGCCCGCAGTCAAGCTCGTCCGTGACAAAGTGGCTCACCTATTGCGGCGCCTCTGAAGGTTTTTTCCCTCTCTCTCTCCTCACTCACTCCCGCTCGCACTCTCACCAGCTGTTCAATGATGGGCCCGCAGTCAAGCTCGTCCGTGACAAAGTGGCTCACCTATTGCGGCGCCTCTGAAGGTTTTTTCCCTCTCTCTCTCCTCACTCACTCCCGCTCGCATTCTCACCAGCTGTTCAATGATGGGCCCGCAGTCAAGCTCGTCCGTGACAAAGTGGCTCACCTATTGCGGCGCCTCTGAAGGTTTTTTCCCTCTCTCTCTCCTCACTCACTCCCGCTCGCGCTCTCACCAGCTGTTCAATGATGGGCCCGCAGTCAAGCTCGTCCGTGACAAAGTGGCTCACCTATTGCGGCGCCTCTGAAGGTTTTTTCCCTCTCTCTCTCCTCACTCACTCCCGCTCGCACTCTCACCAGCTGTTCAATGATGGGCCCGCAGTCAAGCTCGTCCGTGACAAAGTGGCTCACCTATTGCGGCGCCTCTGAAGGTTTTTTCCCTCTCTCTCTCCTCACTCACTCCCGCTCGCATTCTCACCAGCTGTTCAATGATGGGCCCGCAGTCAAGCTCGTCCGTGACAAAGTGGCTCACCTATTGCGGCGCCTCTGAAGGTTTTTTCCCTCTCTCTCTCCTCACTCACTCCCGCTCGCGCTCTCACCAGCTGTTCAATGATGGGCCCGCAGTCAAGCTCGTCTGTGACAAAGTGGCTCACCTATTGCGGCGCCTCTTAAGGTTTTTTCCCTCTCTCTCTCCTCACTCACTCCCGCTCGCGCTCTCACCAGCTGTTCAATGATGGGCCCGCAGTCAAGCTCGTCCGTGACAAAGTGGCTCACCTATTGCGGCGCCTCTGAAGGTTTTTTCCCTCTCTCTCTCCTCACTCACTCCCGCTCGCGCTCTCACCAGCTGTTCAATGATGGGCCCGCAGTCAAGCTCGTCCGTCACAAAGTGGCTGGTTGCTCCAATCAGCTTCACACCCGCCTTGAACGCCTGCGACAGCACAGGAACAAGGGAAGGGAGAATGATAGGAGTCAGGCAGGCAGGCAGGCAGGCAGGAAAGAAGGCGGGCATGTGGGCAGTTGGGCAGGCGGGCAGGCAGGCGGGAAGGCGGGCAGGTTGGCGGGCAGGCAGGCAGGCATACCCATGGAAGAGAAGGGTACAAAGGTACTCTGCATGCAGGCATGATGGGGGATGATCGAAGGGCGAAGTCCTACACGCATGGTCACATGCTGGTGAGTAAGGTGATGCCATGGGCACACAGCAGCAGTTGTCGAACGCAGACAGGTGGGCTGCGGAGGTCTTACTTCCATCAACTCGTATGGTTATTAAAACGACGAGACAAACCCCATGGGATGAATGGATTTCCCGGTTAACTGTGTTGCTGGTGAGTAGGGCGATGCCATGGGTACACAGCAGCAGTCACGACGTGTGTGCAGGCGCGACAAGAATAGAACAAGCTCATGTTTCTGCATGCAACCTCAAGTGGGGTTGCGAAAAAGAATATAAACTAGAGAGAGCTGTGAGTGGTGACTGCTGTGAGTGGTGCAAGAGTTGTGGGGAAGAGGGAGGGCAGTGGCGGGGACCTGGAGGTAGGGGTTGGCGCCTTTGAAGGAGGGCAGCAGGCCGTGGTGAATGTTGATGATGTCTCTGCCGTACGAGGCGAGGAACGTGGGTGATAGCACCTGGGGGCGATTGTGGGGAAGGATGGGGCCGGGATGAACGAAAGGGGGCGGAGGGGAGGGGGAAGGTGAAGGAGGGCAGGATGCCGTGGTGAATGTTGATGATGTCCCTGACGTACGAGGCCAGGAACGTGGGTGATAGCACCTGGTGGAGTTGGGGGGCCAGAACGAGGGGATGACAGGAGAGAGGAAGGGGGGAGGAGGAGGGGAGGCGATAGGAAGACATATGCTGTGGTGAATGTTAATGATGTCTCTGCCGTACGACGCCAGGAACGTGGGCGATAGCACCTGAGTGTAGTTAGTCGATTTTTGAGTCGACTCAAAAATCGACTAACTACACTCGGATTATATGCTGTGGTGAATGTTGATGATGACTCTGCGGCGCCAGGAATGTGGGCGATAGCACCTGGGGGGGTGGGGCCAGGATGAGGGGAGGACGGTGGAGAGGTAGGAGAGGGGAAGGTGAGGGGAAGGTGATGGGAAGGTGAGGGGAAGGTGAGGGGAAGGTGAGGGGAAGGTGAGGGGATGGGTAAGACAAGAGCTGGAATTGATGTTGATGATGTGCCTGGTGTGGGGAGAGGGATGGAGAAGAATATGGGAGAGGAGGAGCGGGAGAGGCACATGGCAGCAGGAGCGAGCAATACAAGATGGTGGTTGAGGAGTGACATGGATGGGCCCCACCCACCCAGGCGCACACATACACCCCCAGACGCTCCAACACCCGTCAGCACCCCTAGCCACCCCTCACCACCCGTCACCACCCCTCAACACCCGTCACCACCCCGCACCACTGTCACCACTCTGCACACACCTGCATGTATCTGGCGAGAACGAGGAAGTCAGTGTTGGGGCCATGCACGAGGTGCAAGATATCATCCTCTCGCTTGTTGCCCGTGCTGGGGTCCACAGGCAGGTGGTGGAAGGGGATTCCATGCCGCGTGGGATGGATGGATGGATTGAACCCACCCAGGCGCAAACCAACACACCCCATCACCCCTTACCACCCCTTGCAACCCCTTGCAGCCCCTCACCACCCATCACCACCCTTCACCACCCCTCACCACCCTTCACGACCCTTCACCACCCCTCCATCACTCCGAGCGCACCTGCATGTATCTAGCCAACACGAGGAAGTCAGTGTTGGAGCCATGCACGAGGTGCAAGATATCATCCTCTCGCTTGTTGCCCGTGCTGGGGTCCACAGGCAGGTGGTGGAAGGGGATGCCGTGCCGGTCCAGGAAGCGCCGCACGTGCGTGTTCTCACTGCGCGGGTGGTTGCTGTGGAGTGCGGCGGTTTGTGGTGGCGTGTGGTGGTGTGCGGTGGTGTGAGGCGGGTAGGATGGGAGGGAGGGAGGGATGGGTTGAGTGCCGGTCCAGGAAGCGCCGCACGTGCGTGTTCTCACTGCGCGGGTGGTTGCTGCGGTGTGCGGGGGTGCATGGCGAAAGGTGGGTCGATGGAAGGGGTACAACATGGATAGGAAAGATGGAGGGTGGGGCAATGAGAACACAAGATAAGGGGGGTGCGCGTTTCGGCATGACATGCAAGGTAGAGGACAAGGAGGAGGGCACAGCACAGGTTGCAATGACAGCAGATGCAGCGGGTGCTTGCCTGATAACGCAGTGAATGTCCACTGGGAGAACCCCCTCCTGCCAGCGATACAGTAGATCCACTAGGCAGTGGTCCTGGTTGCGCCATGCCATGGCCGGAGGGGCGGAGGGCGGGAGAGCGGGAGGGAGGGAGGGAGGGAGGGAGGGAGGGATGGATGGAGAAAGGGAATGGTCATTAGTGGTGTTTTTTATCATACAAACACAACATCAACATAAAAAGCATCAGAATCAGCATCAGCATCAGCATCAGCTTCAGCATCAGCATCAGCATCAGCATCAACATCAACATCGTCGTTACACACGATTGGGTGGGCTTCTGAGAGGAGCTTCACAGCATCCACAGCACAAACACCGCACAGAACACTCCCACGTTCTTCATCCTTCCCACCCCACCCACCCGCCCCTGCCAAACCCCCGTCCAACCCCAACACCCCCGCCCTCTACCTTCCACCCCACCTGCTGTGAAACCAGCACGGCCATGCGCAGGCGCTTGTCCTGTGCCATGACATGCACCTTTGACCTCTCCAGCCCCAGCTCTCCGCCCTCTGCAGTGTACATGTCACCCCTTCCCCCACGACGCCCCCCCCCCCCACCCTCCCCCACCCCACCTGCTGTGACACCAGCACGGCCATGCGCAGGCGCTTGTCCTGTGCGATGACGAGCACCTTCGACCTCTCCGCTCCCAGCTCCACGCCCAGCGCTGCTCCCACCCACCCACGATTCCCCCCCCCCCCGCACCTGCTGCGACACAAGCACAGCCATGCGCAGGCGCTTGTCCTGTGCCATGACATGCACGTTTGACCTCTCCGCGCCCAGCTCCGCGCCTAGCGCTGCAAAGTCCTCCTGCATCTGCTGCCGCGGCCACCGCGCCGGGTCAAACGAGAACTCGCTGCACAGGGGGGGGGGAGGGGGAAGTGGGGAAGTGGGGGAGATGGGGGAGATAGGGGGCAGGGGAAGGGGGAAGTGGGGAAGTGGGGGAGATGGGGAGATAGGGGGCAGGGGAAGGGGGAAGTGGGGAAGTGGGGGAGATGGGGGAGATAGGGGGCAGGGGAAGGGGGAAGTGGGGAAGTGGGGGAGATGGGGGAGATAGGGGGCAGGGGAAGGGGGAAGTGGGGAAGTGGGGAGATGGGGGAGATAGGGGGCAGGGGAAGGGGGAAGTGGGGAAGTGGGGGAGATGGGGGAGATAGGGGGAAGGGGAAGGGGGAAGTGGGGAAGTGGGGGAGATGGGGGAGATAGGGGGCAGGGGAAGGGGGAAGTGGGGAAGTGGGGGAGATGGGGGAGATAGGGGGCAGGGGAAGGGGGAAGTGGGGAAGTGGGGGAGATGGGGGAGATAGGGGGCAGGGGAAGGGGGAAGTGGGGAAGTGGGGGAGGGGGGAGATAGGGGGCAGGGGAAGGGGGAAGTGGGGAAGTGGGGGAGATGGGGGAGATAGGGGGCAGGGGAAGGGGGAAGTGGGGAAGTGGGGGAGATGGGGGAGATAGGGGGCAGGGGAAGGGGGAAGTGGGGAAGTGGGGGAGATGGGGGAGATAGGGGGCAGGGGAAGGGGGAAGTGGGGAAGTGGGGGAGATGGGGGAGATAGGGGGCAGGGGAAGGGGGGAAGTGGGGAAGTGGGGGAGATGGGGGAGATAGGGGGCAGGGGAAGGGGGGAAGTGGGGAAGTGGGGGAGATGGGGGAGATAGGGGGCAGGGGAAGGGGGAAGTGGGGAAGTGGGGGAGATGGGGGAGATAGGGGGCAGGGGAAGGGGGAAGTGGGGAAGTGGGGGAGATGGGGGAGATAGGGGGCAGGGGAAGGGGGGAAGTGGGGAAGTGGGGGAGATGGGGGAGATAGGGGGCAGGGGAAGGGGGAAGTGGGGAAGTGGGGGAGATGGGGGAGATAGGGGGCAGGGGAAGGGGGAAGTGGGGAAGTGGGGGAGATGGGGGAGATAGGGGGCAGGGGAAGGGGGAAGTGGGGAAGTGGGGGAGATGGGGGAGATAGGGGGCAGGGGAAGGGGGAAGTGGGGAAGTGGGGGAGATGGGGGAGATAGGGGGCAGGGGAAGGGGGAAGTGGGGAAGTGGGGGAGATGGGGGAGATAGGGGGCAGGGGAAGGGGGAAGTGGGGAAGTGGGGGAGATGGGGGAGATAGGGGGCAGGGGAAGGGGGAAGTGGGAAGTGGGGGAGATGGGGGAGATAGGGGGCAGGGGAAGGGGGAAGTGGGGAAGTGGGGGAGATGGGGGAGATAGGGGGCAGGGGAAGGGGGAAGTGGGGAAGTGGGGGAGATGGGGGAGATAGGGGGCAGGGGAAGGGGGAAGTGGGGAAGTGGGGGAGATGGGGGAGATAGGGGGCAGGGGAAGGGGGAAGTGGGGAAGTGGGGGAGATGGGGGAGATAGGGGGCAGGGGAAGGGGGAAGTGGGGAAGTGGGGGAGATGGGGAGATAGGGGGCAGGGGAAGGGGGAAGTGGGGAAGTGGGGGAGATGGGGGAGGGGGAGATAGGGGGCAGGGGAAGGGGGAAGTGGGGAAGTGGGGGAGATGGGGGAGATAGGGGGCAGGGGAAGGGGGAAGTGGGGGAACGGAGAGTGGAGGGGATGGGAGGGTGGGGAGTGGGGGGAGGAGCGAGAGGGATGACTGGTGGGAGAAGACTGATTTGGAAAGAAAGGGAATCTTGCAGGAGTGTACAACAAACAAACATTACAACCTAGTGAAGAAGCACCTGCAGGTTGTCTGCAGGCCTACCATACGCGTTATAAGGCACCTGCGGGAGTAGAAGATGGGCGTGGGCGCCTCGAAGTCGATGTGCAGATCCACGTTGAGCAGATTCGCGTGCCGAGAGGCCACGCACTCCGATATGCGCGCCACTATTCCCAGCCGGTCCTGCCTTGCCAACAATATGGAATACGTTGGTAAGGGGGCGTTAAAGAACGCGATTTCCCTTCTTTTACTGGGGTATGCGGCTTGAAGCGATGGCGGAGGGATGAAGGCGAACGAGCTAGAAAGACGAGGAAAGAGAGAGCTGGTGTGATTGGGCGAGAGCTGGGCAGCAGCTTGCTGCTGCGTAACTGCTTTTTGCTGCAAAACGGCTTGTTGCTGCGTAACAGCTACTAAGGCTTCACCTTGCATTGAAAACACGTGCACGCCGTGCGACCGCTGTCTGCTCGCTCCCGGCTCCACAGTTACCGCATTTCCCGCCGCCGCTTCTGCGCGTCTCCCTACTGCCGCCGCGCCCAGTCCGCCACCAGGCTCCGCGAAGTGCGCCGCCTTCGGCGAAAGCGCCTGCTGTTGCTGTCTCTCCGGCGACCAGTCTAAGGATGGCGGGCTGACAGGTGTGGCGGGATTGGAGTCCTTCGCGGGAGGTGCGGCGGAAGGGACGGAATGCGGCGGGGAATCGAAATTGCGGGACGGGGTGAATGGGTGGAGAGGGTAGTTAGCAGAGCATACGCCGAGCCACGGAGTTCGGGTGTGGCGAGCGCGGGCGGAGAGGGCGACTGCTGCAGCCGCTAGCTTGGCCGCCATAACAGAGATGCTGTGCAGCAATGTTGCCCGTTGGAAAATTGATAGGTTGGAGTTTTCAAGGTTTCGAGCATCGAGGTTGCCGACAGTCGATCCGCTATTGATTCGCGCGGTACCCAAAGTGGAAGTTCAGAAAAACATCGGACGCATGTCGTAAGTTATCAGCATCACTTCAGAGTGCATACATACACACACCATGTGATCAGCTTAGAAACATGAAACTAGTTAGTATCCTCATAATACCGTAAGTATCCATCCCAACCGTACCCCTTCATCTATGACTTAGCATCCTACTCTATCACCCATAAAAACCTCCACCGCCTACCATCTACTTGACAAACTCCATCCCTGCTCCCCTAGAAGCAACCCCAATGCCCGCCAACTTCTCCTTCCTCCTTAAGCCATCAGTACCCGCCACCACCAGACCTCCATCATGGGAAAACTTCATCCCTGGAGCGAGACTCATGCGCCCACGCCTGGATGCTGCAGCTCCTCCAGCAGCACGAACCCTCTGTGCGCCACCACCATATGCCTTCACACCACTTGAGCCCACCGCACTGCTTCCCTTAAGAGCTAGAACGGGTGCTGCTGTTATCGCTGCAGCCGACGCTGCTGCTGCAGCTGCTGCGGTGGCTGCTGCAGTGGCCCCTCCCACCCTCGCCCCACTGCCAATGAGGCTGCCGCTGCCATGGGCAGCAGGCTTTCTCAGACCAGAGGGAGGAAGGCCATCATGCACTGCTGCTGCTGCTCCTCCTGCTCCACCAGACAGTGTCTTGTGCAGCGAAGGGATTGCTGACGGCATGGGTGTAGTTAGCCCTGACCTGCGCACAGCATGTGGCCTGACGGTGCTGCCAAATGCAGTAGGAGGAATGCCATGGCGGAGTGCAAGTGGTGCTGTAACCTCGTGCCCTTTCTCTCCAGCAGCAGCAGAAGCAGCAGCAGTCCCAGCAGTGAACACATGGTAAGGCTGATGCAGCACCAACTGCTGTTGACGCGCTCCCTGCTCACACACGTCCTCCTCCTCAACCTTCTTCTCATCACACCCGTCCACACCCTCACCATCACAAGCCACGCTCGCCTTATCTCCTTCAGCAGCTGCACCGGCACTGCCATTCGGATTGCGCTTCAACCCCTTGGTCACTTCAGCAGACTGCCTCCTCCACTCATCATACCACTCGCGCCCAACCACCACCTTGTTCACTCGCAGACCAGCCAACGGTGGCCTACCAGGCTTCCGGGTTCTCACTGCCCCCACTGCATCCAGCTCCGTTCCAAAAGCCTTCTGGTCGCCATCCATCCCAGCTCCTGATTCCTCTGGCCTCTCCAGCCTTTCGCCAACCTCCAACCCAACAGCATCAGTGGCAGTGGCCCTACGCAGCATCATCTTCTTGGCAGCGGGTGCATAACCCAGCATAGCATAGTCATCCCATGCTTCACGTCTCCTCTCCCCCTTGCCACAGCCCGCCCATGCAGCTCCAGTGCGGCTACCTGGGAGCACAGACAGTGACATCCTCCCAGTCCGTTTGCGAGCCACACGCACAGCTTCGGCCGCTTCTGCTACTGCATCAGAGCCAGCACCAGCACCGGCAGAGCCTCCACCAGCACCAGCAGCATAAGCAACAACAGAAACACCCGTTTCGGTGGAGCAAGAAGCAGACCTCGATGGAATCTTGCTCCCCAGCGACCTTGCAGTGGCCTTGGGAACTCCGGAAGCTGTCACTGCCGCAATTGCCTTCTGAGCGGATGCCCCTCCTGCAACAGAGGATCCTGCAGGAATCCTAGCCGGAACTCTGCCTGGCCCCACCCGCTTCTCAGAAGCACCAGTGGCAGCACCTGCTCTACCCTTCACAAAATCTGCAATCTGGGAGACCACTCTGTCACCAGCCTGCTTCAGGTCCACCCAAGCCTTCTCCTCCTCCTCCAGTGCAGACTCAGACGCGGAAGCCTCAGCAATCGGCTCTGGGCGGGGGCCAGATGCCTCTTCCATACCAGCATCATCAGTGGCAGAAGCAGCAGAAGCAGAAGACGCAGTAGCAGCGGCAACAGAAGCACTGACTTGTCCTGCTTCACTGGTCTGCTCCAGGCTTGCCTCACAGTGGGGCTCGTGCTCAGCCTTCTCCTCCTCAGCATGTGTCCCCAGCGAAGCCACCTGAAGTGAGTCTGCCGAGACCGAAGGCTGCTTGTAAGAGTCTGCCTTGATCTGCTGCTGCTGCTGCAGTTGCGCCTGTTGCAGTGCACGCGCCTTCTCCTTCTCCAGAGCATCCATCAAGTTCTGATATTCCTTCTGGCGCTCCTGAATCTGTTTAGGCGCACCAGTGAATAAAAAACACTTGCACAAATTAGCAATGGTTGGACTGCACAGACATTCAGCAGGACTCCAAAGTCAAACAAAAACCATCCGCAAGCACAGCAGTTTGGTCATAGACAGGCATACCCAATTTACTGACCTGCATCTGCAGCTCAGAGACAAGCTTCTCCTTCTCGGTGGCTGTCTTGCGCCTCACTTCCTCCAGCTCCTCGCTCTGCTTCTGGTACGCCTCCTTCACCTCCTTGCAGTCCGCCTTGGCCTTCTCCAGCTGTTAAACATAAAACCAGGGAATCACACAGCATTCTATGAGTAAAAAAGCTCGCACATGCGCACGAAGACCGTGAACGGACAAGGTATTTTCAAATTAAAACGAGTTAGACAAGGACAACACCAGGAGCACATACCGCTTGCTTGAGTCGGGGAACGTCGGTCTGCTTCTTGCTAGCGCCAAAGTCCACGCCACGCACCCGGCAGGCAAACTGCAGCGAGCACACAGTCTCCACGCTGTCCTTCTCACTCGGGCTGACCTGCACGAACATGAGCACCTTGGCGTTCCCTTCCAGGGAGTCCTGCAGCAGCATCGTCAGCTTGCAGTTCCTGCCACACAAACAAATAGAGGAACATCACGTCAGAGTTTTTTTGAAAACAACATTTTAAACCCTTGAACAACAGAAGGAACATGACACCCACGACTCAACTGACTCTTGAGCAGATTCCAAATAACAGCTCTGCACACCTCATCTTCCAAAGAGCTGTAGCTGACCTGAAGTTGACGAAGCTGGCACGTTTGGCGAGGGCGTTGATGACCTCTCCCAGGTACGATAGTGACAGGTTGATGTTCTGCGCCTCCTTGAGCCGCTCGCCCTCCGCCTCGCTCTTGGCCACGCGCTCGCTGCCCGCCAGGTCCACCAGCCACAGGCGACTCACTGTCCCCGCACTCGCACTCGCACCCGAGGCTCCGGCTCCCTCCTTCTCTTTGCTGGACCGCAGGAACGCCGCTGGCTGGGCGTGCACGGACACGCAGACAAGGCTGCACGCACCAAAAGCAACAAGTAGCAGGTCACAATCAGCCACATCCCTGGGAAGTCCGCGCACCGGCGGAAAAGGAAACTCAGACAGAAAGAGGCTGGCCGGCAGGTGGAGAGGCACGCACCAGTGGGATCGGCTGGAGTGCTCGTTCATGCTGGTGGCGCTGGTGGCACGCGCCTTGGAGCCAGACATAAGCACCTTCCATGCCTCCTCCACGCTCCCCACCTCCTGCTCCACCAACCCTGGCACGTAGTTTCCACCCTCTGGCCTCTGCTTCACCTCCAGACCCTGACCAAACAAAAAAGCAGAGGAGTTAGGATCTCTGCGACAAAATCTGCACCCATCTGCGCAGAAACGAACCGCTCTCCTACTTCTTGCTGTTGGGTGCAGCGTGTCCGCCGGTTGGAGCGAGGAGGTCGCGAATGGTGTCGTTGTAGACCTCCAGCACGCTCACCACAATCCTGACACCAACAGACCATACCAAGACAAGCAATGTCAAGAACGCATTAGCACGATCAGAGTGATTGCTTTCAATTCCACGAGAAACCAAAAAATCGCATTCGCGAGATCAAAGTTTATGTTCGCAAATCATCTCCGCTGCTACCCCCTTCCCCGTCAAATCCCTCACGTACTTGTACTCCATGCTGTCATGTCGCTCCTTAGCCAATCGGAACAGCTCTTGCAGCGTACGGAACGACACGCCCCTGTTCTCCGCGGGGCCTTCCATCGTGTACGTCTTGCCCGTGCCGGTCTGCCCGTACGCGAAGATGCACACGTTGTACCCGTCAAGAACCGACGTGATGACGTCAGCCGCCTCCTTGAAAACTTGAGCTGTTTACACGGACAGACAACAAGGTACGCACGAATATTAGCATCAAACAGGACTCTCCATCCAACGTCCACAGTCCATATGATCATGAAGCTGGAAAACGGGAACGCAAATTATACCTTGACTGGTGGTCGGAGAGAAGACTCGGTCAAACTCGAACACCTTGCTCTGTCCGTCCTTGGCTGATCGCACCGAAACCATCTGGCTGCCATGAGGATCTGAATCCAGCAGCACCGCTGGCTGAGCACCTAACTTTTCCTCTGCCTCTGACAGCGGCCTCGCGCGGCAGAACACACGGATGCTTCCTGCACAAGTTGGAGGACGACGAAAGAAGAACTGAACATTAACTTCGAAAAGATGGGAACGCACTGAACGATTCTGGAACGATACTGGACGACAGTATCACAAAGCAAGGTGAACGAGTGCAGTGCAGGGGGAGCATAGTACCTTTAAGGTCGATCAGGTCGTTCTGTAGCTTCTTCCGCTTCTCTGCCTCTTGGAAAAACCTCTTCCTAATGGCCTCTTTCTCTTCCTCTGCAACCAATCACCAGAGCAAAGCAACAATCTTAGTCGTTTCTTTAAAACTGCAACGGAAGTTCATGAATTCAGTGCCGATGGGTGCATACCGATCAAGGAAAGGCTACGGAAGACAGTACTGAAAGAAGCGAGGTGCTCCTGCTGCGTGATTGCAAGCTCCCTCGCCTGAACTTCCACATGCGCCTTGTCGTCTCGAAGAGCCTGTATTCAAAAACAGTCGATAGGAATTAAGTTTGATAGTTCATCAATCTTATGCTGCTTTTGGTGCAACAACTCCGTCGGAATATATCCATTACCTGTAGCTCGGACTGCATCCTCACGAGCTTCTGATGCATCTTTTGCTGAAGGCCTTCCAGCTGCTCCTTCAATAGAGTGTTCTGTCCCTCTGCCATGTGAAAACTGCCAGTTAGCAAGTGTTGATACAATAGTTGGCTAGGCAACGAAATATTGCATGGCAAAGAGAGAGGGGTTGTTACCTGCGTCTGCTAGCTTGTGGCCCTGAGCAGCTAGCTTATCGCGGACGGCCGAGAGTTCACGTTTCTGCTGCTGCAACAATGATCTGACATTTGAGGTCTCCGACTTGGCCTTCGACAACTCCTCCTTCGCTCGGCGATTCTTCTCCTTCAACTGAAATGCGCAGAAAAAAAACACTTGATCAACGAGGGACTACGGAGTAAGACGTTGCGAAAAGAGCGACAGATGGAAGTACTGGAAATGCGCTTCCGTTTATACCTCTTCAATCTTGCGAGCCAAATCCATCCTCCTGGCCTCCAACGACTTCTCCAAGTCATCTCTCCCAGTGTTCATCTTCTGTACCACGCGTTCAAGCTGCTCCACCTTGTTCCGTAGCTTCTCGTTCACTTCCCGCTCTTTAGCCAGCTCCTCTTGCAGCCGCTGATCCGCGATCCATTCTCTGCCATGTTAAAAACACGCAAAAAAGGGAGAATTAACAATTTTGAATAGAAACACGTGAGTCCTCAGGCTTGATTAGAATCCCATGTTCAGATTTTAAAAAGACCAAAAAAAAAAAAAAAAAAAAAGCTTTACGCGTCACTGCAGTTGTACCTGTATTGAAGTTTATTGGATCATCTTGATCTTCGCCCAGAAACGTTTCTGTAGCCTCTTCCGCGGGTTGATTGTCATCCTTCGTGGAATCCACCCAAGCAGCAACGTTCAGAAGTTCCTTATCATTCTCTCTCAAGCAACATTCTGGTTCATCCTCTGCTTCCTCTGTGGAGGTACCATCACAGCTTTGATAGTCCGACATTGTAGACGGTCTATCTCGTGTATCAAGCTCTGTATCTTCAGCTTCATCTTCTCCTTTCTTCGTATCCTCCTCAACAGGCAGGAGCAAGGCACCCTTGGCTCCGCCAAGAGGACTCATCACGGCACGGTGTGACTGCGAATCCTCCATGACACGCTTGGCGACTGGCGACGAATGCTCTGCTACGGACTGTTCCAAACCGGCCGTCGCTGGTGCTTCATTTTCGAGATCGTCAGCGGAGATGGTGGCAGCTTCCGTCCTAATGGGAAACTGGTTTGAGTCAACGCATGTTGACTCAGGAGCTTTGGTCTCTACGTCAGTCTGACTATCCGTGGAGCTGTTAGCATTGCTTTTTGCCGGTTGCATAGGAAGAGAGTTGACGGCCTCCAGAGTTCTGACAATATCTGGAATTTCCTCCTCGGAAATTTGCTTCGCGACCTCACTTGCTTCTTGTGCCAGGCTCCCCTCACTAATCTGGCAGGCCGTTGCAGCCTGACCAACCATTGTCTCCCTTCCGTCCTCCACTGCCATGACCTATTTGCACGCGAAGGACAAGGCTAGTTTGTCCAACAACGCTATGGTGTTCTCGAAAGTAAGGTGTCTCAGCCAGATGGCCTCGGGATGGAGTTAGAAGTCAGTTCAAGGATTGCCAGCAATCGATTACTCTGCAGTCTCTCCACAACGAAAAGAATCAAAGCAACGACACTACTCCAACAATGCTCCCCTTGGGTCAGTGTGTGTGTGTCTCAGTGCAAATCGAAATTCAGGTTCTCCCAGCTAGATTGCTTGCTTTCTCCTGTCTGTCATTCTGTCTCTCTGTTCAAAAAGCGAGCCGCATTCCCTCCTGCCTGCTATCCTGTACCCAGTATTTCCCGCCCGTGATAATGGCAACGCCAAATTTGGCAGAGAGCCTGAGCACTGGAGGTTTGAATTCTGCGCGGGAACAGTTGGTGACAGATGAATCGATACAGCGCATCGGTTATTGAAATCTGTCTGACCTTACAAAAACAATCGGTTTATAACGAAGTTAGCAGTTTGTATCCACATCCGTGTCCAACGTCCCAAATTTCATGTGATACATTAAATTATTTTGCATAAACTCGTTGTGCATTGGGTTCTGCAGAATGTAGTTTGATCTTATTGCGTTGCATCATTCATATCTAATAAAGACTTTTGTATATATGTCTGTGTCTCTCCTATAGATTCAAAATAGTCTGTCATTATTGGATACATCATTGTGCTTAGGAGGTTAGGAGGGAAATCACAGCCAACGTGATCAGTTCTTCTCAGACACATCTCGTGAATCTGCTCTGCCATTTCCAAGTGTTCTTCACTCTCCCTGCCGATCTTCGCGCCCATATGCTCCTTGCTGTTTAGTTGCGACGTTGTGTCTTGTAGCGTCGTGCGACCACAATGACGGGTGTCGGATACGCTGGTTCAGGCGGTCAACAACCAATAGCACGAAATCAAGCCCCGCAAAAGCCGTTGTACACAAGGAGAGACCTGATGAACACGCGAAATACCTCAAGAAACACCACCACGAAGAGCAGGCTACAAGTGAGCACCTTCTTGGCACCTTCAAGTGGTGCCGCTCACCTTCTTAATACTCTGATTGTTCTCGAACCCGTTCAAATGGTGACTCCAGAAGCTTGCATGATGGAATTTCGCCGTCTGTCGAACTCATTTTCTCTGCTTGGTGGTTCTTGTTTGTCAACTCGTTCGCCTTCAACATCATTTATAGTGGGAGTAACAATGTTCCCTTTCTTCTCTCACTTCCCTCTTCCTTCCTAAATCTCTGTTGCAGCTACGCCACCTAGTCTCGTAGTTGGCCCATCAGCTTCTGTGGGAGGTCACTCTTCGGACTCACAACCAGCCGACGTACAGCATGGGAAGGCTTTCCATAGCCACCACAGTGGTAGCCACGCACACGGTCTTCAAGCCCCAGTGCAACGTCCAGACCATATTGTTCCCATAGTGGGCCCGCATTAGTCAGTCTTGTTTCGTTCCATCACGTTCTCAACTGTCAGCTCTCTGTTGTAAACTCCCTCTATCTAATCCTCCCCCCCTATCTCCCTCTCTTACAAACTCTATTCTGTTCCCCATTTCCTCTCTTCCTGACTTTCCTTTTCTTCCCGTCTGCTCTCGTTTGATATTTCCCCACCCTTCCTCCATCGACCCCCTCTCTTTGCTCTCTCATCTCTCCCCCACTCCCGCCCCCCCCTTGAGTCCTGTTTCTTTCACCCTCTCCGTGTATCTCTTTGTCCTTACCTGTACCTTCCTTCTCTAATTGTTTGTTGCCCATCCCTAAATTCCTCCAATATGTACGCAAATGCATAAGGCCATTAGCTGAAGGAAATCGTTCATGCATAAAGTTGTAGATGATAATGTTGCGTGTAATCATGAAGTGGATTCGATATTACAAATGTTTTCCGAGTTGCGTCGAGTGAAACCTAGCAAACCTCGAGAGATGACATGCTTTTCCACAGCTAGATTTGGATATGGCGTTATATTACGTGGCATATCACACACGTTCCGCTGAAGCCCCTGGCCTATCCCAGCTCCCGCTTGCTAAGTACTTGTTGCGACGTTCGTGAGCTTCGCGAGCTATCGCGAAGTCTCCTTTTCCGCCGTCGTCTGAACAAAAAGTCGGACTCTTCTTGCAGCTTCGCAACGCAACGCAACGCACCGCACGCGATTGGCTATCGCTGCCCATCCGCAACCCTCTTTGCTACGCGCAACCAGTGTTGCTACTCGTTTTGCAAGTTTTTTCCTGCCCAAAGCCGTCGAGTCGCCGCCTCTCCGTTTAGTGCGCCTCTGTTTCGCCAGGGCCGCCAGAGGGGGGCCCCGCTGCGCTAGCGCCAGTGCAAGCGCAGCGCCGCCACCCTTCTCTTCCCTCCCCCCTCTCCCCCATCCATTCTTCGCATTTTACTGTATTGCAGTACACATGCCCTGTCATCATCTCCGCCAGTTGCGGCGGGCATGTGATTTCCAAGGAACGCGTTTCTTGATTCCGTCCTTCGCATCCCATTGGCTCACGATCACATCCCACCAGGCCTACAGCGTCCTTCCCGTGGGTTCAAAGATTCATCGTTTCATCCACCCTGGGTTACACTTCACTTCCTCCCCCATCCTGTTGTTCAACGGAAAGCACACATGCGATATTCTACGTGAAAGCGACGCAGTCAAGCACACATTCTTCGCAGCATCCACAATGTCTCACGTGGCAAGTCATAACTGCTGGCGACCTAATCTTGCGACACATTCTAAGGAGCTGGCTGCTGCAAAATTTCTATCTAAATTCATCGTGTGTAGCGGGGCTGCCGGATTTTGGCCTCCTTTGCTGCCATACGTGTGTACAATCCGCAGCAGCATCATTCTCACATCAGATGCCATAGAGAACTCCGTTCGCCCCTCCTACAGCCTCTTTCTCACATCTCGTCGCCCCACATTCGCATTCGTCACCGTGATATTCTTCCCTTCGTAGCATCCGGTCGATCCCTTTCCTACGCCACACGAGAATCGCCTCATATAATCGCGCAGACCTTATTCTATTCAGTGCCTTCGAGAAAAACGCAGACGACTACTACGAGCGGGACCAAAAGCGCTAGTTAACGTCTGTAACGGACATATCTCTGGCGCTTCTAGATAAGGCCCATTCGAGCTGGCCCGACTTCCGGTGAATTAATGCGCGCAGACTCAATCGCCACAACCGGGAGCGCCCACCGCTGCTCGTTGCATTATTCGTTTACCTTCCTCCGTACGATCCGCAAAGCAAGTCAAGGACGGATTTTGATAACGCCATCTCCCAGTCCTGTGAGCCGAACACGAGCGGCGCGAATGGGCTCGTTTTAGTTCGGGATTGGCGGCACTGATTGCACGCGGCGCCAAATGCCATCCGCCGTGTGTTGCGCGCCGCTCTTGCGCTGGACTTGACATTTCATAGTACCGCCTAGTACTGGGCTTGCCTGTTCGCCGCTACATTGTGAACTTCGATTGTTAGGAATCCCAACACATCCTTAACTACTGATAATCTGATCCGGATTCCCGCAAGAAAAAGGCTTGGGTTTGCGGCGGAACCACGCACCAGGAGACGCGAGTGTGGGAGATAAGTAAGCACTACAACAAGCCACAGCTAAGAACTGCCGACGCTACGATTGGCACTGCTAGCAATGGCGGATGAGCGCACTTCCCGCAACCGTGACAGCGACCCCGGACGGGCTGTCGTCGCGGAATCGGCGCATTTCACGCCCGCTGCTATGCCGGTTCAGGTTCTCGCTGCACGCATCCTCTTCAATTTGAAAGGCGAAGTGTCCCGCATCAGGTGCCGCATGCGCTGTCGCAAAACCCGCCGCACACGTTCCAGCAGCAGCAGCAGCAGCAGCAGCAGCAGCTCGAAGGCGCAGGCTTCGGTCCCAGCCCGTGTGGAGCATCAGGCGCTTCGGGACGATGGCTACCCTCAACGCCGGCGGCGGCTGCGGCGCCACTGCCACCGCCGCCGCCGCCGCCGCCGCCGTCACTGCTGCCGGCGGTCGCAGTAACAACGACGGCCGGGAGCGCGTTCGACGCAGCGACAGGCCAAGCAGCAGTCG